ATTGTTTAATACAAGATTAAATTATTTTCTGTCACAGAATCAAGTCGGATAGCTTTTTTTTTTTTTTTTTTTTTTTTTCATTGATTATATTTTTTAACAACGGTTCACAATATATGAACTTACGTCTAGCAATTTATTCAGTTTTTTACAAAAGTGGATTTTCAAAGGTAAGCGAATTGGAACGACTTATCACGTTGTATTTTAATACACAGAACCTTGTCTTCAGTTCATACTTGACTTGCAAGAAAATAAATATTTTTTACGATAGTATAATGCTAGTTTTTTTTTCACACGTCTTTTTAACTAATTTTTACTAATAAATATAGAATGCAAAATTTTCAAACTAGATATACCGTGTAACGAAATATAACAAACTTACGAGAATATTTTTAATAATATAAGTTTGTTTTTTTAAACAATGTGAATTATTACAAATGTTTGAAGAAAACCAAGAACTCAAATATTTCTAACTGCGTATTTAGTATTCAATTTTCAAATAGACATTTTTCTGTGTTTTACGAGACATTTTCAAGAGACAACACACATTGGAAAGATATGCTTGAATACTTTTTAAATACATATACATGTTAGTCATTATAAATAACGCGATGAGATTGGACCATACGGCAGCTTTAATTTGACCTTCACTAGAAAAATTAACAATACTCTTAAATTAAAGAACGCTATCGTCGAATGAATTATTTGTGTCTTCTAATGAATTATTTATAGCAGTATTTCTCCCCTCGTTGATCATTTCCTGTAAGAAATATACCAAATGATTACAACATAGATTAATTATTCTGCGTCGCGGAACAGAGAAGAGTATAAGAATGGCTGAAGATCGTACTTTTAGTTCATTATCTCTTATAAAAATGAGTTTGGCCGCGCAATAACATTAAAAAGATATTTACAACTGACGTTTTCTGCGTTGTCATTATAGTGTCATTAACGTTACGAATGAGATAAACATTTGTGCACACACATACCTGCAGCACTTCAACAAGCGCTACTGTCTCATCATACATCTCTTTATATACACGCTTTTCTTCTTGCAACTTCTTGTTCCGTTCCTCGCTTCTGTTCAATTTTTCAACAAGCTCCTTATTCTCTTCTAATGCATTTTTAAGTGCTAATCTTCTCCTTTCAGCTAGCAATTCCCAAAACCTTTCACTGGTACCAGGTGCATCTATTAAGTCGCATATTTCAATAGGAGAAAATTTATAAAATTTTTCCACACATGCATTTCAAGTTAAGAAGTGCATGTGTATATATGTAAACATAAACTTAAAAAAATGAATAGAAATATTATTTATAAAAAAATTCAATTATTTACCTATAGATGTTAAGTCGTCTGTATCAATTTCTCTCTGTATTTGTTCGGTTTGTACAGCCTCATCTTTTGTTGTTTTTTTTAGAAGCTTGGAGGTACTTTTTGATTTCTGAATGCGTTTTGGTTTTGATTTTTGTACATCTCTAAAATAAAAACACAAGCAGAAGATATAACATCTGTATAAAATCAGTGTATGCTTCAATGCAAATTGTTTAAAATTTTTCACATGTATCACCTCTTTGATTTTACATCTTTTGATTGTTGAGAAGACTTGATCCTATTACCACCCACTAAAACTTCTTTGTCAGTGGCTGAGGGCTGCAATTCTTGTAAGGATTTTCTAACCTTCTCCTGCTTTAATAAAAACAAAACACAAGTGTATTTGTCACATGTTTTTGAAGACTATTTTATCTGTTTTAATTATAAACATATTAATTAATAGTTTATAAATTTTATTCTGTAATTTGTTATTTTATTTGCTTTATCCGGTTTTTGTCTTTATAAGCAATCTTTCAACATCTCCGATTAACAATCAGTTTACTAACTCGAATCGATCGATCGCACTTTTTTCAAAAATTTAATTCTCACGTTCTCTCCTTCATTATCGTAAAATCTTTGTCCTTTACAATGAGCACCTGGTTTTAACACTGTACAATTTTTGTGTCACGGAACAATGAAGATTCGAAGACAGCTTCAGTTTCTCTATGAGTACAGAAACGCGTAGAGATAGTAGATACGAGTTGTAAACGAGAGACGCGTACGTAAATAAGATTGTAAAGGAACAAAACAAGTGATTATGTATTTTAGAGGACAAAGACCGTACTTTAAGACGATAGAGGAAACAAACACACTAGTTTTCTCGTTCCAAACAATTTAAGCAATACAGAAATTGCTTTGTCCGCACAGAACACAGTTTGTGTGTTACTTGATCTTTGTATTTCGCATTAAAAAAAAAAACGCATTTTTCATGTGCGAACAAACGGATTTTTAATCAAATTCGTGTCCGAAGAGACGCGCTTTGGACGCTGCAATGTTGTATCCGGCACTTCTGACATGTTTTTGTAAATCAAAAGTCAAATTCATATGTTACGTTCCTACGGTGTTCTTGCTACTTTTTTTTGTATGAGTAAAAAACAAATATACCGACCTCCGTAGTAACACTCGGTTCCATCCCAGTACCGGTCTTCATCTTCTGCGGGAATTAAAACTGAGAATAATCTTATGTCTCCGGTACTTTCCGGCACCGAGACCGAAGTTCGTATAACGTATGTATACAGTCAGCTGTATATGGCGGGAAACGTAAAACCATAAACGATCACGTGATGAATAGATCAGCAACGTGCAAATGAAAGTCCCTATCGACGCTCTTAAGCCGGATCCACAATGAAATTCTCAGAGACGGCCAATCGCATCGTCGGATTCAATTCCGATCTTGTAAACGCGATCTTTGCGATTGTTGCAGATCCGGTCTTGAAAGATCGAGTGCGATTGGTCGATTTCGCGACGACCAATTTTCATCGATCTCGAATCGATTAAATAAAATATTACTGTATAAATGAATTCGAGTTTTTCGTGAACTATTTTGGATATAAAGGACATATTTCAATCCAAAGATGACGACAGTAGAATAAAAGAATGTTTATATCTTTAAGAAAATACGTGGTACGTATATATGCATAAGTATAAAATATTTAGCTTATTCAAACGTCGATATTTGCCAATGTCGAAAACTTTGTTGAAAAACGCAAGTCGGTATCTTTCAGATTCTCCTCTATCCACTTGTTTGCTTCCTCATTCAGTTCCTTAGTAAAATGTTCTTTCCACCCACCACTACCGCCTTTTCTAACGAAATTTTGTGCTTGCATAATACCGCAAGCTTTTAAATCATTTTGATTAACCATTGGATTGTTCTTGAAGTTTTCGATATTCAAATAATCGGCCACTTTGTCAATTTGTTCATCGGTATACGTTTTGCCTAAAAACGTCGCCACCTGTTTTATTATCTTTCGAAAATCCTGGAAAATATTTTCATAAGTTATTTTTTTGCACCAAGTATCTTTTCTAAAAAATCATCAAATAGTCGTTAAATATGAGGAAACAGAGAAACAAAATTGACATACGCGCGTCATGTCCTCGTAGAACAAAAATAGAAAATTCGGATGATCCTTCAGGGCCCATGCTTCTTTCAGATGAGCCCAGTACGGACTCCATGGCGCTGCAAAAAGATGTAAGGAAAAAAGAAAAACTTAAAAACAAAATCCTCTCACAATATTACACAGTTTTTAAATAGACAATCCATCCATTGTATAGAATTTCCGATTATTTTTTTCTTATACGTACTGAGATCATTCTTGAAGTATGACCAAAACATTGCGAAGTCTCCGGTAAATCCTTGTGTTTTCATAGACCTGTTCAAATGGTACCACGACACAGCAACGTCTTTCGGATTACGAGCCACGTAGACAACCTTCGGAAGAACAGAAGTCACAGAATCGTTCGGTTCTTGACGAATCTTTACTTCGTCTCTCATTACTTGATTGTTACCTTACAACCGACATCGATTATGTCGGGAAGCAAACTGAAGGGAAAATGGGATTTGATGAATCTGGGCGACGGATTCGCCGCGATGACCTCGTAGCCGGGTTTGGCTATTTCGCGGCACAATTGCTGCTTTGCCTCATCGCCCTTGTTTATCTCCAGAAATTCGCTCGTCACTTCTGGATGATTGAACATGCTGAATCTGTGGAGAAAGACGCGAATTTTATCAACGATTCAAGAGATTATAAACTTTCAACACATAAAAATATCTCTTATTCATATTGATTTTTTTTTATGGTGGTCTTGATTTTTGGATGTTTTTAAAAAATCAAATCAACAAGTAGCACGCGCATAGTATTTTTTACGCTTTGAGATATTATTTACTGTCGATTTCTTCGTATCTCCCGATAGCTATCGTCTGGATAAAGATGTATAATTTTTAAAAGAAAGAATCCAGAAACAAGGAAAGAAACTATAATTTATCACGCAAGTACGCGGAATAAAAAAAAAAGATAAAAGATAAAAACCTTGATCTTCGCGCATGGTATATAAATCATGCAAATACTTACTCGAGAAAAGAAAATCTCTTGGCAAGTAATTCTGCACGTGCCGTATCAAAGTCCAAGTTGTTTGATAGCAACCATACCAGCTCTTGTGTCATTGTAGTACCTGTGAACAGATAAAACAAAATGATTTTTTTACGTCGAATCGAAGCTTTTTATCGTTTTCAAATCACAAACGTTACGATATACGGAAAATCGCCAATGTTTTGCGCAATTTATTGAAAAATAAACAAATATTTACGTGCAAGCTCACGTAGAATTGCCAGAGTTTGTAAGATATACTGATATTCTTTTATTCAACACAAAATTAACAAAATGGAGTCCAAACATATGAAGTTTTTGCAACTGCGTCAGACGATGATGTAGTTTTATGTTGAAAAAAAAGTGCTTCGGGGATTTTTTTCTCGCTTCTGTCATAAGATTCACGACGATCGCGAGATATTGAGGAGTCTTGTGCAGAGAAAAAAAAGGAAGAGGAATGAAAAGAAAAAGAATAGAAAAAAGCTGTGTTTGATGAAAAAAAGTCTATATCTTAGAAAAAAAAGTTGAAAAAGAAGTTTTTTGGAAAAAAATTGACCCACCTGATCTCGGGTAGCTCATAACCCAGGTGTCGTCTGGTCTAGCTTTGAAATTGTAGAAGCTGGAACCTTGGTCTGTGTATTTGTACGGGAAAAAGTACTTATTCGGGCCAACGAGTACCCAGCCAGTTCGTTCACCTTTGAAGACTTTCAGCATTTCCTCCGTTTTTTCTTTTGAGAGAAGCTCGTACTTCGGGAACTGCTTGATCATCATGTTCACTCACCTGCAACTCAGCAAAAATTGATAATGTTATCGTTTCAATAATATTTACCTATCTTTGAATACGAAATTAAACTCGCGAGAACCGGTACATTATTTATCGATTCCGGTCGGTCGAACATGTCCTTCGCAGCAAGTATAATTTTTCGCCGTTCTTTGATTACTGCTATTAGCATTTCCGTTGAATGGAACAATAAAACAATTATCTAACACACCGATGAATTGTCAATTTTTTCTGTAATTTATCAACGTTTTAATATAATATTATCATGTTATATATGTATATACCTATTATATTGCTTGGGTAAAACTGCAGAAAAGGGGAGCAGCTTCCGATGACCTTGAGCTTGGTATATATTGTTAAGGTCGTGGACCCGAGTAAGGTTCCGAAGGTTTTATCCGGCGATCATTGTTTACAAGTTATTTTATAGACATAGACGAATATTTTGAGCGTTTCAGAAAAAGACTTTGAAGCTTCTAAGAAATAGGAGTAGAAAATTAGAATTGGTATAGTTTTAGCAGAAGCACCAAAGTTATAATATAATTCAACGCAAAAAACAGCGAGTCCGTCTCATTCTAAAAAAAAGACAGACGACAAACAAAAGACAAGAAGAAAGACACATCTATTCTCCGTTTCAATCCGACTAGAAGTCGCTACCTTCCGGACAGTGTAGCGGCAAATCAAATTTTGATCGTCGGGGTTCATCCTTCAGCATCCTCTTAAATCGCTAGTTTTGTAATCTTGTGTATTCGAAAGATAATGGACGTTGGATTTTTACATAGAGTAAATACATAAATATAAAGAATAATATAACTTTCTGAACTTAGTCCGCACACGTAAAACAGGTTTTACATAAAAAAGTTATGGTGTCGAATATTATTTATATAACAATAATACGACAAATATGAGATATATTATCTTTCGAGTACTTTAAGAGATATCTGTTAAATTGAGCAAGTTCGCTCTCTCTCTCTCTCTCATAACAAAAACTACGCACGTTTATCACACACAGTAATGTTTACTAAAGAAATCTTACGTAAACATGCATATACACAAGCAGTACATCGAATGTGTGTGACACATTGACATATTCTTAACAAGTTTTTATCAAGTTTATTAAAAAAGGAGAGACTGAGGAAAACTTATTCGATCGTTCTTACAAGCGCAAAAATAACTGATTTGACAAAATTTATTTCGATTTACTGCTTAGTTTATAAAAACATGCAGTAAGTTTGAGATCTTGAGATCTCAGTTCAAGTAGAAAAATGTAATTTGTTAATGTAACATCGTGACTGTACTTTTTTTTTTTTTCTATTCGTAACGTGCAAGAACGTCTTTGCGTTGATTCACAAGAAAATGCGATCATCGCCTAAAAGTTTGTAGAAAGTTGTCAAGTAATTGTAAAAAAAAACGCTAATTGTAGTTTCTTTTTGTTGTGGTAAATTAATATTTATATACGTACTTTTTGTTACTTTCAGTTGCACAGATATAATCTTTTTACCAGAATATCACATTAACTTATCACATGCACTGGACTGTTCAGTCTCGCGCGCGATCAGATACTAACTGTCTGACGAGTTGCTTGTGACCTGAAAGGTCCGATGCAGCGCATAGCTTAGTTATTTAGTTGACTTAACAATTCGGGTCAGTCTGTCAACTTTCACGGACTTACCGTCTTGTTCTCTTTTTTAAAACAAAAAAAAGCAAACACTCTAAAATCTTTTCTAATGTATAGATTTGACAAAAATTTACATATTCATCACATTATTATTCGAGTCACTCCGATATGTATTATCATAATTTTAACAAATTAGAGACTTAAGATTAAAGAAATAAAAAACAGGAGAAAAACACACGTCCTAAAAATATCATATTTTTTATTGAGGAAATAATGGAATAATTAAAAACAACTTCTCTCTGTCGTACAAATTAACTATAAGTGTATATCACTTATAACGGGTTTCGTGTAATTAATTAATTATTACGCGAACAACGCAACGAGAAACGCAACGTCGCGAAGGAAAAGGAAAATATTACTACCTACGGACTACATTATATATGTACAATTAACTGTACGGAAATATAATAACTTACACATTACAATCGGCATCTTAATCAAAGTATAAAGAAGGCATTTTTTTTCTTAATAATTAATTCGCATATAAGTATCTAATCGTAACGTATTTAACGTAACGTGTAATGGATGTCGCATGGATGCGCATCTCTTTTACAGTTCGCAGAATAATGATCGTTTAGAACAGGGGTGTCCAACCTTTTGGCTTTTCTGAGCCGCATACGCAGTCCGCGCTTGAGCACCGCGTAATCGAGTTATAAAAAATATTGTTAAAATCACATCATAATGTTAAAAGTTTATGATTTTGTGGGGCCGCACTATTAGCTGTAGCGGGCCGCGGGTTAGACACCCATGGTTTAGAAGCTTCCTTTCTTTAATAACTCGAAAGAGATCTTGCATTTTGTTTTCTCTCTTGTTCGATTCTGAATTCTCATCAGTAAACGATGTTGTAAGGCATTTCAGTTTTTCGTGTAATTATTGTTAAACACATTGAAAACTTGGATGGCTAAAGGCACTTGTGTGTGTGTGTGTGTGTGTTATACTTGTCTCATATAAATTTCCAACATGAGCAAACCGCGTGTACCGTGCATACACAAAATGCATTTTCACTAAAATTTACACGTTTGCTCATATCTTATCTAATCCACGTAACATTTGTGTTATCTCGCATATCCGATAGAATTAATCTTACATTTTCAGCATTAACAACATTTTTATATTGTAAAAATTGTACTCCAAAAGATATCGAGGTTGCGCGATGCTCGACGCATTATTATTATTATTTATATATTTTTTTTATTTTTATTTTCAATATAACATGTGTAAAAAGACGTATCGAAAATATCAATGCCCTGCGTAGGGTTATTGATTTTGGAAGCCCTATCCCTAATGTACGTAACGCTTACACGTGTAGGTCTCGAGTTATTAAATTCTCCATAAAAATAATACGCAGTTACACATATAATTGAGTAATTTATACTCTTGGTCTCGTGAGTCGACGCAGACAGTGTAAATATTGTCTATACGTTTAAAAAATACGGTAAATATTTCTCGAAAGAGAAGTATTCAAAAAAAAAAAAAAAAGAAAAAAAAAAGACACGTTTTACAGACTACAGATCACATTCCCATACAGATCGATATATTTCGTGTATAAAATATCGGAATGAAAAAAATATATATATATATTTCAATATCTCTTCTCGCAATCTGATTATCACGATTATACGAACGCGTTTCGATCGTATACAAACAGCAAATGAATAATTTATAATACTCGTGAGAAAGAAAAACAAGTTCTTTTTAATTCAATTTTTATAAAAGAAAAAAATGCGTTTTGCTGTTGTTACTACTAATATTGCTAAAGATAAGAATGTCGCAAAAATAGCATCAGGGCAAATTTACTGGAGCACCAAGTATATAATAATACGTAAGAGCCATCGTTCTTGAGCAATCTTCCGCCGTATCTCATTCAGCCGGTGATACGGTTTTCAATCTCGTGGTTTTTCTCTTTTTTTTTCAGTCCAATTTATGTTTTAACAAACCGCGCTGTATTATTTCTCGTTAGTGGACGCGGTGGAGGCCGGGTCGTTGTTATTGGACGCGGCTTTCTGTTTGCCGTTGGTCCCAGTCTTCTTCTCCTCGAAGTGTCGTCTCCGATGTACCTTCATGTTGTCCTGGCGGTTGAACTTCTTGCCGCATTCCGGACACGCGTGCAGTTTCTCGCCGTGCACGTAACGATGGGCGGCCAGGTGGCTCGCTTGCGCGAAACTCGCGCCGCACTTCGGACACACGTGCTTCCGCAGACCCTCGTGCTTCAACAAGTGCTCGTTGAGAAACGCCTTGGACGCGTAGCGATTGTTGCAGACCTTGCACACAAACGGCTTGGGATTCGAGTGCTGCAGCACATGCGCCTTGTACTTGGATGCGACTTTGAACGTTTTGCCGCACTGTTCGCACGTGTACGTGGTCGCGTGGCGAGTTTTGATGTGCTCGTTCAGCACCGACAAACTAGAATAAAGATTGTAACAGAAACGGCAACGGAAATTGCGTCGCTTCTTCATGTGAACACTCGTCACGTGGCCAAGCAACCGCGTGCGATGCGGAAAGACCTTGCCGCAGTACTCGCAGGCCAGATTCTGCGGCGGTTGATGCGACTTCATGTGAATCTGCAACGAGACCTTGTGGTGATAGCTTTGTCCGCAATCCGAACAGACGTACGGTCGCAGACCCTTGTGAACGTTGTCGTGCTCAGCTAAATAGAACTTGGACTTGAATCGTTTCGGACACTTGGGACACTGTATGGGCCTCGGATTGGTGTGCGAACATCGGATGTGCTTCATCACGTCGGACTTGCAGACGAACTTGGCGTTGCAAACGACACACGTGTACTGTTTGATGCCCAAGTGCGTCTTTACGTGTACCGTGCACTTATCCCGGCGTTCGTAAAACTTGCGGCATATTTTACACGCGTAACCGTTCTGATTGTCGTTCACTACGTGCTCCATGTTGTCGTCCACCTTGACCTCCTCTCCGTCGATCCTGAAGAGCTCCTCGGGATTCTGCGTGGTCTCCAGCCGTTGCTCCAATTCTGCCAGATCTTTCAGCTTCGCCGCCGCGTCGCTGCTCTCCACAGACGTGTTGTTCAGAATGTTGAGGATGCCGTTCACTTCCACGCAGTTCTCGTTCTGCAGCAGATTGACGATCGTTGTGTCTACTTGGCAGTAACCCTGATTGGGAAAAACCCGCGCGCGCACCGTCGACACCTCGTCGTTCTGTTTCTTGCATAGCTCCACGGTGAAACTGTTGTCCTCGGCGTCGTTGTTTCGACTTCTCGTTGTTTCCTTAACGGAGACCTCAACGTCGGGAGAGTCGGAAATGATCTTTACCAACTTGTTCAACGCCGTAGTCGGCAACTCAATCGCCATCGGATGTTGTTTCGAATTCTGTTTGTTCGTAGTTTCATTGTTATTATTGCTATTACTGCTAGTATTCACAGAATGAGTGTTGTTGGCGTTTGTTTCTACGTTATTGTGACTCCTCAATCTGTTCGCGATCGGTGTCTCCTCTTCGCTCGCCGCCGAAGACGCCAACGACTCGGCGCTTTGTTTACTTCGCAGCCAGCGAGTTAACGAAGTTTCCGATTCGCTGTGATTTTGTACATTTTTTTCTACATTGGAAGTCGCGTTGCATTTGGAAGCATGTTGCTGCTGACTGCGAAGACTTCGCTGAGTCTTTGTTTTCTTCTTCGGCGATTCCACCGAGTCTTTTTCGACGATGCTTTTGATGTTTTCACTCTGATCCTCCTCTTCATCCTGACTGTTACTGGAGGAATTGAGATTTTTTTCTATACTGTTGTTGTTATCCGATGACGATGCGCCCACCGTCGAGGGTGACTCTTCATCTTTTACCGCTGCCTAAAGAGAGACGGAATTAAAACGCATACATAAGTGGGTACCAGGATATGATAATTAGAAAAAGATAAAGAAGAGAATTGTATTGTGTGTCTAAATTTGGAATATATTATGCGTATCGACAAAACGTGAGCAAATGAAGCAGTTGCTTCCACATAACGCGTTAAAAATTTGTTTATTTATTTCTCTCCTTTGCAAAACTATATTTTATCGTAATCTCATATATTTAAATATTTTATACGGTTGTTTGTTTGTTTAATTTACAATTGTTGCATGTAAAAAAAATCAAATGTATCGTAAAAATAATAGCATGAAAGATATCACAAGACTGATTCTGATTAAACAGAATGGTGAAAGAGCAATAGAGCGGTAGATGAGAAATGTGTGAACGTATAAACGCAGAGACTTACGGACTCTGTTAAAGGCGGTAGCTTGTACTGATTGCGTAACTTTTGTTGGGTGCGCAGACACTCCTCTTGAAAGTCGCAAACGAATTCGAGCTTGCCTAGACACTGAACACAGATCGCCTTGGGCAGAGGATCCCTCTCATCTATCTGCGATTCACAAACAAAAAAAAGTGACCTAAAAATACTAAAGACTGCACCTGTAATGTTTGCAAAAAAAAAACCAACTCTTGTTTCCTCATCATTGTGGATTTTCACATGTTTCCAATATAAATTTCTTAGTAATCTATCTAGTTTCCTTTTTGCCAAATTAATCAGTTACAAAACGTGAACACTACCGCTCTGCTCTGTACATACACCATTTTACAATGCATTGTGTAATCTGGTACCCACTCTCTAATTCACAATTGTCAATTATCAAACAACAGAGTTTTGGCAAACATAAATGTGTAAAAGCACCTGTTGCTTTTATCAAAAATCATTCCCTTATTTCCAAAAAAATTTACATAAGTTATATTTTCACAAATGTAAAAAAAAAAAAAAAAAAAAACAATCTTGATTTAAACAATTCTCAAAATACTAAGACCAATTTTGCAGAGTCCTGCAGAAATCTCATTGCCAATGTAACTCTAACAAAAACCATGACAATACTTTGGAGCAACGTTGATACAAATGTCAAAATTTTGTTGCACTAATGAAATTAAAAACAAAAAACAATCGTTTCTTTTTTTTTTTTTTTTAACTAAAACCAAGACACTCCTCGTGCACCAGTTCTGTAAAAAAAAAACAAATTTGCTCAAAACGTGCATTGTAAATAAATGGCGAACACGAACACACAGATACCTCTTAATTAATGCATTCTCTGTTTGTACATAAACTACACATATGCAAACTACACATTCCACTTGTTTCTCGCCGATTAGCATTTGAAAAGCATTGACGACTAGAAGTGCAAAGCGGTGAACAATTGCGGTCAAGTGTCGCACCCTCGTGTTTCTCGTGTCAGAAAAACATCGGATATCCTATAGAGCACTTCCTCGTGTGAGAATCAACAAGCGTGTGAGAAGCGCAAGAGATATTACTACAAAGCAAGTGCGTCACGAAGACAATTAGCATGCGGTGCAACAAACACACACGAATTTTCTAGCCCTGCGCAAGTTTCTAGAAAATGCAGATTAGAGAAAGAAAAAATCATTCAAATTTTCTTTTCCAAAGGGAAAAAAAATTTGTTCAACTTCCCCGCTCTTGGCGAGGAAAAAGAACGAAGGAAAATCGCAAAGGTTCGCGCGACGTCGCACATCCGGACGCGATCCGATATCTCACCAGGATGTTGATTTTCGTGTGGATCTTGAGGCCCAGGTAACGTTTGACACCCTCCTCGCCAAACACGTCGATGTAGATCCTCTCGTACTGGCCGCAGAGTCTGCATATTTTCGACTGCCCCTCTTGCACGTCCATCCTTATCTCGGTCGCGGTATTAATGCCCGTCTAGATACACGCTCGACTACTTGGAAGTTGGAGAAAACCGGGCGATGGTATAGAATACGTGTGTGTAGAGCAGCGCTCGTTGCCTCGAGTTTTGCACCGACGACGCCACCAAGCAGGTGACGCGAACTGTCGCCCGTTTGATCGCGGCGTTTCTCTCTCTCTTCCTGTGTTTTTAATTTCGTCCTTCCTCGACCGAGAGCTCGTGAAAAAAAAAATTAAATATTACAACGTGCCGTCGCGCGGAGCCATCGGAGTCGCGTCACCGCCGGAGAGGATAAACGGAAGAAAACAACGAGGAAGGGGCGAAAATGGAGACAACAACATCGGTGTTACTACTTGCTACGACGATCCGAAAACATGCGAAAACATTGGAGAGTACCCGCGTACTCCGGCCACCCAACGAACATGGCCGATCGCGAGGCAAGGCGCGTGCTGCCCCCTGGATCACGCTCGACTTCGGATCGCGAGCCGAACTCGCGAAACGATATGTCCGTCGAAAACTCGACCCACCAATGGAAGGTGTTCGTCGGTCGCGTTTCGAATAATCGCGACCAATCAAACGTGGCGGAGTCGTTCTCATTGGCTGGGGCAGCGTCGAGCAAAACCGCCCTTTTTTTGAGTTTCGCGCGGGAAAACATCAACACATAATTTTTGCGATAAAACTGTGTTTACTTATTGGAACTTACATTATAATTGTTACACGGAAATTTATAAATATTCTGATACATTAGGTCCTAGTTTTGTTATTTTATCGGGCATCAAAGACGACAACTGAAGACAACGTTAAGGAACGTATTTCTTGGATCATGTGATAATTCGAAATAAATGCACATGTAAAGATATTGAAGTTGTAAAACTAAAAGTACAATATTACGAAAGGATACGTCTTTTGGTGCGCTTCTTGTACATAATTCTGTAGCCACATTCCCTGCAACGGACCGGATCTCTCTGACGAAGCTCGTTATCGTGATGGCATTCTAAAAATTATTGCAACGTTTAAGCATACAATTGAATAAAATGCCGTAACTGTTATGTATACATGTAATGTTATTTATTATATTTATAATTCTATTTACAATGCAATGTAGAAGTGTGTAAGATTCTAGAAGTTTCTACTGGAAATTGCATATACACTTTATATATATTTTTATAATAGAAATTACATATATTTAAAAGTACAAATTGGTAATTTTACTGGAATAAAGTTGATATGATTCAGAAAGTAGTAGTAAACGTTTTTATCTACGCACCACGTGCTAATAGTATGTAATCAAAAACATGTCCCAAACAAGTGAGGTTAGATTATTGAAATGATAAACAAACAGCAAACACGTGTGTACTTACCTCCGCAAATATATACCATGGCTTGTTTCGGTGTGGATTCCGATTTACTGGATTCCATTTTGATGATTAGCAATTAAACAGCTCCGAAACAGAAATGTCAGTTTTGAGACGCTCGCAGCACGCAGCAGCAGCAGCAAGTTTGTAACATTCAGTGAACTCAAAACGTTTCGTACCACTTGCTCTCTGCCACGATTAACCGTCGATACGTAGATACGCGATCAGCAGAAGCTTAGGATTGCTATCGCATTGCGCTGCTATTTTGTCCAACAAAGATTTGATTGGGCGCAGGACAGAGTTATCTGGGAAATTCTAATTGAACAGCCAATCATCGCGCTCGAAATCTTGATCCCACAGAAACGCAGCAATGAGATATCAGCCCTAACGCTTGCTCATTGTTGTGTACCGACTGTCGCAACAGAAAGAGAAATATACACAAAAGGTTTAAAACTCACCGAGCCATTGCAACACACCATTGACAATGCGAGAAGTATGGAGATCAGATAATACACATATGGACTTATGTGTGTGAGATGCGTCATTCGTTCTCTAACATCCTAAATGTCTAATATGACCGCAATGACAAATGATCACTCCGTGATGATTTGAGGAAATAAGTAATGGGGAAAAACTGAACGATGATTTGGTCATTTAAAAGACAGGAGGTAATATAAATGAAACGTACAAATCGCTGTGTGCAAGGGCACAACGAGAAAAGAGGACAGCTATAGCCGCGGATCGAATTTGTCGACGATGGCTCATTTGCTCAAGAATCTCACTAATAGCATCTGGCACGCGTTTCACGCGTTGCAAACCGACACCACCAACACGGTCGCAAAGTCGAAATTAAAGGTGAGAGAGATCTGAAAGATCGAAGTACACACCTGTAGCTTAGGCGTGGCGACCTGTTGGTTACTTTTCCCATGTAGTTTATGCTCATAATTTACTGAAGATCTATTTGTAAATTAATAAAAAAAATTAATTAAATCTGATATATTGCGCTTTTTTGTTGAGAATTCGCTTACATTTTTTTACTTGAAGGTGTTGACGGCCAATATCGGAACACTGATGGATTTGTATGGCGTAGAAAAGGGACTGGAACACTACAGGAGTACGCAGAGCCTGACCTTTGATCACTACATCTATTACTTGCAGAAAGAAGTAAGATACTTCAAATGGAAGCGCAATCAAATCAGTTTCCCTTCTATTTATCAATCAAGAGAATACTGTTATTGACGGAATGTGTGTTTTTTTTAAGGTGTTCTCTTCTTTGACTGATAGCACATCCATACAGATGTTGAGAACGTTGGAGGAAGGAATCGACGAGATTTGCTGGCTGGTCTGCAAGAAGATCTATCTGGAGAGATCGAATCCGGTTTTTGAAGATCACAGTGTTTATCAATTGTTCAGAATTTACTGTTTACTGGCTGAAACGGACGTGGACGCGACAGATTTTTATTTGGTTAGCGATTGGATCATTTGTTGAGCAAACATCTTTCACAACGCAATGTTTAATGCATTGGTTTGTGTTGTTGGTTGCAGGTAACAATGCACAGCGACGAAGTGGCGCAGATCGCCTCTCATCTGGTGATGTCTTTGGGCTTGCAGTGGGACGCAGCAGACTTCTCAGCTTTATCGGTGGCTATCGGAATGTTCAGGTAAATTCTTTTTTTGTGTCAAAGATCAAAAATAAAATGATGATAATAGAAATCCAGAGAAATATAAATGAATTTTTCTGAAACGTTGCGAAGATTTTCCACATTCCTGGCCGTTCTGGAATCCAAGTACAGCGGCGGCAATACTTTGGACACTATGGCGTTGACAGAAGCGATTGACGACCTTTATCAGATCTACATGGAGAACGTGGTGAAAAAGGTATCGTACATATTTGTTTTGTTTTTCTACCAACATGATGTTAATTAAACTAACATTTTACGAAATTTTATTACAGGGTTATTTGATGAAGAAAGGTTTTCTCCTGCCGACGTTGCGGTACTTCTGGTTCGTGTTGCGTCCCGGCGAGTTGACGTATTATAAGGATCCCCAGCAGAAGGAGCCATCCGGAGTGATACCGCTGAACTCGAATTGCTGGGCTGACACTCTGACGACCAGCGGGAAACCCGACAGGAAATTCGTGCTGAGCACACCCGAGCACAGATGCATAGAACTGGTAGCGGAGGATCACAAGGGCAGGCTGCAATGGCTCGCAGCGTTGCAAACGGCCATTCAGCATTCGGGTGAAAAGATCAGTTATCAGAGGAACTTGGCCAATCAGAGGAGATCTCTGCGACAAGTAAAAACTTTGCCAGAAAAATGCGAAAAATATGATTGATTTTAAGTTCGAACTGGTTTGATAACGCGTTGTTGGTGTTGATAACTAGGCCATCAAGCAAGAGAAAGAGGAAACCAAGCTGGAACTTCAGCACGAAAGACAAGCTAGAATCGCTGCTGAAATACAGGCCCAAAAATTGGAGGTTCTGTCGAAGGAAGAGAGTGCCAAGATTCAACAGCTGGAGGACGTGAAACAGAAGCTGGAGCTGTTGTTGCAAGAGGAGAAACAGGCTTTACGCGATGAGGAAATAGGTAAGAATATTCGATTTACATTGCGTTACGCAATGTGCTTTGATGCATTGTGTAATCTGAAATACCGTGGAAATTACAGTGCGAAATCTACAAGCTAGAGTATTGCGCGAGGAATGGGAAAAGAGAGAGCAATTGGAGAAATTGCAACAGGAGCAACAACAACTGCTGGAAATGGAAAAAACGAGAAGACTGGAATTCGAACAAATGCAGCAGAAAAATGAACGGCAGTTACAAGGTATGCGAGAGAATCAAAGTAGAAAGACGTTAAATATCGTATGTAATCTTGAAAATTATTGATGTGAACTATAAACATCGTATCTACGATTTTCTAATATCGAAACTTTGCCTTTTTAGTGTCTCCTGTTTTTACATGTCTTGTATGATTGTTTTTACTTTTATTTTGCATCTAAATTGATTTTTGTTACGTTCTCACTCTTATTTAATGCGTCCGTTTTCTATATATTTGGAGATTTTTACTTTCCTTTCCCTTGTTTGCTTTCGTTTCGATCTTTAGACGCTGAAGTGCGACTTCAGCAGTTGGAGGCCGAGAGGGAACATCTGGGTGCGGAGCTGCGCGCAGCGCGTGAAAAGGTGAAACGCGCCGAGGAGGCTCAACTTCTACTTGAGACGCAAGTCGTGACGCCTACTTTGAGAGGAGGCGAGAGAATTAGACGCACACAAAGTCTCATACCCACAACGGAGCGTCCGTTGTCCATTGAGAAAATTAATAACAGGCCTATAGTGTTACAGAAAAATGACTGATGTACATGCGCAAACAAAGAAGTTTTTTTTTTATCGCTTAAGTTGTAAGTGTCTTCCATCGTGTAATTAATACAAAGTATATTCTTATAGAAACTACACGCGCGTGTTTATACACGACGCCGCCGATTTCATCGACTTGCCTCGTCCGCAATCTTAGCCAAAAATTATTTTTAGTCAGACAACGCGCATACAAATACGTATAACGAATTTATTCTTCATGCGAACATATAATAAAATATACATACATACATATATATATATAATACATATATATGTATATATATATATATGTAATAAATATTTATAAGATAAAAAATTATTTGATAATTTATAAATGACGGAGTACTTCTATTTGATGTAAATATTAAATATGTATGCGTATGTGTATCTTTTTCGAGCAAATTACGAGAGACATTCAGTGTGCAAAATCAGTGTCCAATTGTGTTTAAAAAAACATAAGCAGAATCGACGGAAAATAGTTCAAATATTTTTATAATATTTTATTTGACAAGTTACTAGAGCTTTTAAATAAAACATGTGTTCTGCCTCGTATAATTTTATGTGAATCGGATCGAGTTCGCGATTCAAATCGGATGGAAAATACAAATGGTGATATATTTTGTACTAAATAGAGGAAATACATCAGTATTGATCAAACATACACTCCATACGGCCTATATTCGGCCACCATCATTTCTCTATCTCTGTACTGTTATTCTAAGGAAGTTTTGTTAAGAATAAAAACGATTTAACGAAATTATCAAAGTTGTAAGATCTTTTATACTCGTTGTGTAAAATGCCGAAGAAGGGCAAAGGAAGCAAGTTGGCTCGCATGAGCGACGAGGAACGCGCCCGCTACTTGCAACATCGAGCCGAGTTGGAATTGGAGACCAAACGACGCAAGCAACAGTTGATCGCGTCGTTTACTAAGGTATGTCGAGTTTAAATTTATGTTGTTACGAGAAGATATTTGGTGTGCGTTTTGGTAAAAAAAAAAAAAAAAAAAAACGTTACTTCGAAAACGTAGAACAAGCTGAAACGCGAGGAAGCGTTCTCGCGATTGAACGCCGCGAAGATCGACGAACAGTGGCGGTTCATTTTGCGTCGAATAAAGTGCAAGGAACTCCACGAGGACGTGGATTATCTCTGGAAAAATTTCGATCGCACGTTGAAGATGAAAGATTTCGTGATAAAGCGTTTGTACGACCAGCTGGACACAGCTGACGCCGATCACAGACGACTGCAAGAGGCTCACATGCACATGATCGATCTGATACTCGGTAGCTAATACATGAAGTTCTTAATAAAATTTTTAAGTTTTATGTAATAGGTATATATGTATATGTAGTGTATTTATATTACATATATATATATATTTCACACATAATAAAATAATAATGCTAAAAGAAATTAAATTGATTTTCTATTAACTTATTTATTACTCATCAAATAAATGTAAATAAAATTTTAAGCCCAATAATAAAAACAAGATAAAATAAAAAATATATATACGTATATAATTTATACGTATATAAATTTTGTCAATTAAATATGTAGGAGAATACAAACAAAAGTCTACGCAACTACACGGCTCTTTCGTGCGTGAACGCGATCGTATCGCTTCGAACGAGATGAGCGACTTAAAGAAGACACGGGAGACTCTGGGACAATACTGTGCTAAATTGCAAGATATAATTGTTGGACAGGATGAGGGAGTGGAAAAGAAATTGGTCGAAACAAAACTCCGAAACGCCGTTCACATACAGAACGTCGTGTACTTGGTACGTTATTGCATCGTTATAAATGTTAATTAACGACCTTCTTCCTAATTAAAAACGTTGTAGAAAGAAGATTCCTTGTCGCGCCTGATGCAATACACTTCCAACGAAGCGGAGCGACTGTGGCAACAGATCAACGAAACGATAAGCGAGTACGAAAACAGAACGGACGACAAGAGGAAACAGTACGAGTATTTGAAGGAGCAAGACAAGGCTCATCGCGACGGCACGGCGCAATATCCGAGATTGCAGACGCAATTGCAGAACGCGATTAAGAACTTGAAACAAGACACGTGCGTATTGTCGCAGAAAAGGGAGCAAAGCATAACGAAACTCAAAGATCAGATCGCGCATATGAGAAAAACAGCTGAAAACTTGAGACACGCGCTCTCTACGACTCAAATGTCGGATACTAGTCGCTTAAAGAAACTGACTATTATCAGCGGCGGTGTTCTGAAAGTAAAAATATTAATTTTATTACACGCGAAAATAATCGCATGAATGTTTCGCGAAAACAAAGTTTAGATTCTTAAATCCTTAACAGACACGCGCGCATATTTTTTTTACTATTTGATTCGCAGGAACTGCAGAGAATGTCGGAGAAAGCCTCGATCGTACTTTCTTTGCTGAAAATGTGCTCTAGTTTAGAACCATTTTCACTGATCGTTCAAAAATACACTTTACGCGATGTGGAATCTACCACTCTTACAAGTCGTGTAAGTATTGTATAAATATATATATATATATATATATGCGCGTGCGTCTAATTTTTAATTGTAAGATAAAATCATTTGTACGTAAATAGATGTCAGAAACGTTGGACAAGTTGGAGAAATTTTGGGAACAATTCAATTACGTCAAAGCCGACAATATCTCCATGAAGAGGAAATGCAACAAGTTGTCGTTCGAAAACAAACAGTTGAAAAATACGTTGCGCATGTATCTTTTGACCACCGTTTCCAAAACTTCGACTGTGCGACCACTCACGTCTATTTCTATATAAATAAACAATACAATTTTGTTTTTTTCTTTCTAAATAGGAAATTTAATTCCAAATGATGTATTTCTTATTAAAAGTTCAACAAAATTACTATCCTCTTTGGAGGAATTTGTAATATTTATAACTTTTTGTTTTGTTACAAATTACTTGATTGTTACAAATTGTAACAAAGTATCTTACACTCATATGTATTTCACACATATATAACACGCGCGCAAGTACACACATATACACATACACATGTACACACGCACACGCACACGCACACGCACGCACGCATGCAAACATATCTAGAATTGATCTAACGGTGAGTGAAAATACCTCCTCCGAGTGGCAAATATTTATACGGTCGGGCGCGAGTTCGCCCTCTTACGGGATGAAAGAATATCTTCTCTTTCGGCGCCATGCTCTCAGTTTCCAGATAAATATCGAAACACGCTCTCAGCCGTTGAATCTGCGCCGTTAACGTCGGCGACTTGGTCCACATCACATTGACCTCTCTCTCGATGTCCCTGATGATGTCCGCCGACGCCGGCACCATCGGACTAATGCTCACGCTGAACACCGGCGCTATCTTCGGATAGTCCGGCTTGATGGCGATCTTCGCCACGAGTTCGCCTGAAAATTTTGAAAGTAAGTATATCCGACCGCAAACACGACAATCTTTTGAGAGAACTTTGAATAAAGTATCATCGTACTACTGCCACGACGAAGTACAGCTTCGTAGAAGATGTCCAGTGACGACACCAATTTCTGCTCGAAGAACGCCGGCGTAATGACGTAATTCGAGTAGTTTCTCCAGGTCAGAGTTGTGAATCGGTGCAGCGACGTGGAGATTTTCTGCGGTATCGGATCCGTCGTGCTGATCAGGATCGGCAAATTGCCGGATTCCAGCTGTCGTATCTCGGCGCGCAGGTCTATCCGCGCCTTCACGCGCCGTTTGATTTCCTTCAACACACTCTCAACACAGTCCTGCGCCAATTCTCGACTCACAAGCTTCAAATAAAAATCACACAATCGATCATTAACAATAAAAAAAACCTACTAAAATCGCATCTTTTGTTACGAAAGATGCTGCTTCAATAAAGAGAAAGGTTTCATGATTTACACACACGTACCTTTTGTTCGTTTACGTCAGGTGAAACGAAATGCAAACCAGCCATTCTCTGCGCCCATCTGTACGGAATTCCCAATCCCAGGGATGAAAACGAGCCCAGACTGTGTCGCGACAGTTGATACTGATTGGCTGGATTCGGACTCTCCAGTCCTAAATCACCCGGATACAGTTCACGGAGAATCGACTCGGACACAAGCATATCTCTGTGTTAATCAATTTAATCTTGCTTTAGTAAAACGTTTTTGCAATTCGTCAAACATCTCGATAGAAATATTCATGTTCATTATAGCAACATACCCGGCGCTAACACCTCCCAAGTCTTCGGTTTCGAGTTTTGACTCAACCGTGACGACTTTTAAGTGAATCATGTAATAGAATTGAAGAGTCAACCTTGTCTCATCTGAAAATTTGGCAATAAACGTTCGTAGATACATTAAATTTCTCACTTGTATACGATGATAATTGTTTATCTATTGATATCTAGAGGAGGTTATACTTTTTAACGTGATAACAATTTTGACGTGTAACGGATGTATCTGAAGCAATTTAGATCGCTTCTCCTCCTGCCTGGCTTCTCGAGATAATCTGTGATGTCTCTTCTTGTGCACGAGTGTTTCTTCCGCGATACTCTCCGGTTGAGTCTCGGGGTCGGAATCGGATTCTTGTAGACCGTCCTGATTGTTTGTTCGTTTCGCCTCGTCCTCGTCACCTTCCACTTTAACTAGAAGTGTACTGTCTACAAAACATTTCGAGCGATAAGATATTTATACAACAACAGCACACAGTCTGTTATACGTAACATATATTTATATGGTAAAACTTTATTTTACGTACCGTACGCGTCTCTATAAGCAGATGCTTTTGCGTACAACACATAGAGAGGAGATGGTAACAATGATGCTTTTTGATGCTCTTGGCGAATTTTGTCTAACGGCAATCCGAGACTTTCTTGCAGCGGTTTGCTCGCCTGAAAATCAATAAAAACTCAAATCTCTTTCACGTTTGAACGACGTGATATACAAACAGATTACAAGACCTTTTACCTCTAATATAGAACGCAGTTGAGGCGCAAGATTGTCCAAGCGAGTCTGTTTCATTTCGATGTTGGACGCCACTACCTTTTTGTTCTCTGTTAATTCGTCGCACAGTGCAGCCAATTGCTTCCTTTGCATCAATTCCCACTCCAAACGAGCTAGTCTCAGTTGGTGAGGATTATTCCTTGTTATTTCCTACAATATATTTATTCCATTTATTGTGAAAATTTGTATTTTATCAATTAAAGATGTAGAAGAAAGGATCATGTACATACAGGTCTTGAAATGGTTTCTGGAGCTTCTTTATAAAATTCAGCTTCCGAAACAAGCTCTATCATTTCATCCTTTGATCTAAACAAAGATTGTTTCAATTACCTCAGAAATAGCGCAAAAAAGAAAAATATTGTATCAGTCACAATATCTAAATAGATTTACTTGAATTGAAGACACTTGATAACTTCTTTCTTCAAATGCATCACTTCATATAGCAGATTCTGCAGATGCAGATGTCTGCTGTCTACGCTGCTTTTTGCAGCCACCAAGGAATCTCTTGCAAACTTTGTACGAAACTTCTCCATGCGATTCAGTTTCTTCAGTTCTATAAAAGCAAGGGATGTCTGAACTTGCAATTCACTGATTTCATCTTTTACCTGAAACAGTTGTTCAAGTAAAATTTACACTAAGCAAGATATGAGTATGTAAAGAAGAATATATCATGTTGTTTACAAACACTCGGATCTCCACTGGCTTTCAATTTAGCTATCTTTGCCATTGCTGCTCGAATATCGTTGCAAGTTCTCAAAAAGTTTTCAGAATCATCCTCGGGTTGTCTCTCGATAGCTTCCTTCTCTTCGAAACAAATTATTGTCTGGAATCGAAGGATATACACATGCAATAAATTCACACGTTTTATCACAATTCATTGCAAACTTTCTTCATACCTTGTACATATCTCCGTCTTTCACTGATGTTCCGCTATTCGCACTCACGGATTTTCTCCTTTTCTTCGTACCATCCGATTCGTTCTCTTTGCCCATTTTGCGCGGAAATTCTTCTTCTTCAATTATACAACATACTCCAACTCACACGCCGTGGGTTTTTCGACAAATGCAAGGAGGTTAGAGAAGAAGTCAAACATGAGAAAAGTGGGAACGGTTTTTAGTGCCACCTACGGCGAATATCACATTTTCTACGAACTAAAAACAAGTAGTGGGGACATCGGCGCAGTGTTTAAACCTAATCACGCGCGCGTACGCAAGCCAAGTATAAGATTGCGTTCGGAAACACCACTCGTGTGCACTTAATTTTTATTGCTCATTAGATTTAAAACAAAGATAGATTGACGCTCATGTGCACGCAAGTGGTGTTTCCAAACGCAGCCTAATTTTGTTTGATGCGCAATCATAGCGGACGCAAGACGCGGAGCGGAAACGCACCGATTTTCCCGCGGCAATATCCGGCAATACTGTCAGATTTACCGGCCCAGTGATTAGCCTCGCGGCTTGAGTGCGAAGGCTGTGAGCAGTGTGAGCGGGAGGGATCTCCGAGTTCGAATCCGCACATCCCCGATTTTTCTGGGCCGGTCTCTTTCAAGCCGAATGTATCGCGATTGAAAAAGCGAACTCTCAAAATATTTGGAATCTCAATATATAAAAATTCGGCAAAGGATTTTGACATTCACGATGAGCCAAGTTCTCTCGGACAACGCTCGTTAGAAACAGCCTGGTTAATTTCGATTCTCTGAACGGTCCGATATCATCCGGTTCTGTTGTTGTGTCAGTTGCCTTTCGCAAACAGACTTCAAACATCTGCCCAGCACCAGTAAACTTTGTGTTAATATTTTGCGCTTCTTTCAGTCTGTCTCCGACGTTTAGTGTTTCCTTCAATCGCTCGGAGTCCGCCACAGATCACCAAAAAAATCTAGAATATAACAACATATGTCGTAAAAAATCAATCAATCGCACATGAAATAGTCAAATAAATCAAAAGGCCGATACGAGCAGTAAAATACAGGTTGGTCGTGTATAAAAAGTTGTCTTTATTCAATAAATAGACGTTTCGGTCACACAAGTTTGGACTTTCTTCAGTATGAGAAAATTAAAGTAAGAAAAAACATTTTAGTTCACTACATCACTAACAGATAAATGAAATGATGTCAATAAATTACAATAATATAATTTCATTTATCTGTTAGTGATGTAGTGAACTAAAATGTTTTTTCTTATTTGAACTCTTTAATTTTCTCATACTGAAGAAGGTCCAAACTTGTGTGACCGAAACGTCTATTTATTGAATAAAGACAACTTTTTATACACGACCAACCTGTATTTTACTGCTCGTATCGGCCTTTTGATTTATTTCAATATGTCGTAAAACTTGTCCTCCGCGCGAGGTTTTCTTTTCTTGTTCTTTTAATTGTGTGTCATTTCTAGTTTGATATTACATGCAAAAATGTTCGCGCAAGTCGAACACACTACGGCGCGATACGATTGCGTAAATGTATCATATAATTTTATTTTTGTAAAATAAACATATACACAAATATATACAAAACCATATGTTTCACTGAAAGCTACTTTTTAGATTTTACAAATTTGCTAGGAAAGTTTGTGAAACAGATTTGCGAAGATCAACATTAGAAACTGTATTTTTATCGGTACTACAATTGATTTAGCGCAACGTAGTCAGTTCGAAGGCATAAGCTCGGCTATTTTCGACGGAATCACAAACTCGTGGGGATTCTGTTTGAACAGACAAGTCGCAGCAGACGCTGAACCGAGAGAACAGTGTTATGATTGCCCGTTTCGAACGTATCAATGCGCACGGCAAAGTGCGTGCAAAAAACAGGACCAAATCGATCGAAAAGGAGTTTTTATTTACTGAGTTGGTTCGTGTAGTTGGTATACTTGGTGCAAAGGCTACCGTGATCAAGGTTTGTCTATAGCAGTTCTTAATGTTATGTAGTTCTTATTATAATTAATGCAAAGTATTAATTATATTAACTGCAGCGCATTCTATTAAATATCTTGTAGCAGTTATAATTTAGATAATATAGTAATTGCCAAAATAATAATTTAAAGACGCACATACGTATCGACGTAATTTTATATATTCTTGAAAATTTCATCTTATACATTGTATTTAATAATTTGTTAATCTCTTAAGTAGAATCAGTGCATTGCACTGAAAATCAGTAAATATTTACTGACTCAGTAGTTATAAGTCTTCCACTGATTCAAATATTTACTGATTTTCAGCGCAGTGCACTGATTCTACTTAAGAGAGTACGCGTGCGAGATAACAGTGACATTGATTTTCAGGAAAGAACGAAAATAACATTATCAAAATGACTGATCTCAAAGTATGTGTACATATACAAGGAAACAAGACCAGTGCTCAAGTGGAAGATTCGAGAAATATTTTTCATCTTAAAATGCAACTTGAAAATTATATCAAGAAGATGAAAACTACTCGTGAATCTTCGATAAAATTGATTGACGACTTATTCAAAATATTAGACGAGAATAATGGTGCATTCTAAGTATGAACTTTTACTAGTACATTTGTAGTTTTAAATATGTACATAAAAAATTTTTACATTACTAATTGAAGATGCATTTAATTATAGAATATGGGACTACCTTCTACTACTGGTTAATGGGATGAAGTATGTTGCTAGTTTGCATTGTAAATTAACTCAGACGAAAAACGCTTTAGATGTGCGTCGAGAATTTGAGAAAATATGAGAAATAATTACGTAGAAGAGAAGTTTATTAAGTAGCGAGACTCTTAGTCGTTTCCACAAAAAAAAAAAACACAAACAGAATTTAAAAATACAATAAAATAAGATAAAATATTTTTCTAGTCTTTGTATTTTCCTAAACGATGGAGAACAATGTTTTAATAATCAAGACCTTGGCATTCCGCATATTGAACAAGGTAGCGGATTCACGAGACTGGCGATGGAATTTCACAAGGAAACACAGCCAGCGAGCGATCATTTCCGTGTATATAAAGGTTTTCCTTGTCTTAGTAAAAACCGGTCCTATTTTGCATATTTAACAAACATTCAAAGGATCTTTTTTTTTCAAACTTGTACCAATTAACATTTTTATCCCAAGAAGATGAAAACACGTTCGATGCATTATAGTTAGTTTCGATAAAAGAAAGAAGTTTAAAGCATGTCCATTTTTAGTGTTATTTCGACGAATCTACATCAACGACGTGTTGCATCGATCGATGCACGTTTCGGAGAAAACTCTGCGTTGTTTTGTAATCGTGATGATTTGAAATGAGATTTCCTGAACATAAACGTTAAAACCACACGTTATCGTAACAATCAGTCTTCACGCATTCATGCTTCAAACATTCATAGATTCAGTAAATCTCGTGTGTTTAACATCTCGACAAAATGCTTCGTCTCGCTCATTGCGCGTTGCTTCTTGTTGTTTTAATTCCGAACAAATCCGGAGGATACTCTGTGAGTGAAGACGAGCAAATTGATGATTTGATGGTGTTCTACATGAATTTTACGATATATCAAGACAATGAGACGCTAAAAGAAGCTTTTCGTGAAACTTTCGCTGAAAACAACACGTGGGTAGAAATAAGCGCCGATCGAGAAGACGATGAATCTGCGCAACAGAAGATGAAGAATGGAAGAGATCAGGCTGTCCCTTTCACGACTGAGTCTCGCAAAAACAATACTATTCAGCTCTGCTGTCCTCTCGGTCATCGTTTCTCCCTCAAACAGGAGAAGTGTCTCGTCGATAACATCAATGTCACTTTCCCGAACATGTACGAGACCGACGATCCTCTGCACGAGGTATTCGACCTGGTCGTTCGAAGTCCGTGCAACAACAAAGCCAGACATTTCATGATCGATCCCGTGAACTTTCCGGACAGCGTGTACGGATTTTTCGAAAACGCGTCGGTGTATTTTTTGCGCGTCAATTACTTCATTCCGTCGACAAAGTACTGTCTGGCCACGGTGAATCAGGAAAGATTCGATCTGATCGTCTGCAGAAAGCATATCGCGATAAGCGTTGACTACGTGTCCGCGGCTATATTCATTTCGTTGCCGTTCCTTCTGATCACGTTTGTGGTATACTCCATACTGCCGGAATTCCAGAACATACACGGCTACATGCTGCGCGCGTACATCGCCTCGATGTTCGTCACTATCACGATACTCGCCGTGTTTCTGCAACTCTTGCTGGACAATCCTGTCGAAGATTATTCCCTCTGCGCTCCATGGTGTGGGTATAAATACACGCTTAATCACTTTATTGCATATAGATCTGTCCACAGCGGATGTAAATATTAAAGTCGAGAATCTGGCGACATAAGTTTTGAATTTAAAATAACTGAATTAACTCGAAAGTCAATAAAAAAAAAAAAATAAAAAACAAATAAAAATTAGAGAACTCGGTTTCGCTTACAGATGATTATTAGCAACGCACGCTTAACTGATTATGAGTGTGTATTTTTTTGTTTGACGGTTTCCAGCCTACGTGTTCCACTTCGCGATATACTCGACCTTCTTATGGCTGAACGTAACGTGCTTCAACGTTTGGCGGACATTCGGGTGAGTCGGATAGTTTTTTTCATCATATAAATTTCAACCGAATTGTTTCATTCGCATCCCGTATCTTTTTTTTCTTGTTTGTTATTAGTCACGTATATCTTTGTACAAATCTTGCAGAGAATTGCATTCAATGCACCAAAGAAGATTAAAGTCGAACAGAGCGAGATTCGCGATTTACTCGCTTTACGCTTGGGGAGTTCCCTTCGTTGTCACTATCCTGACCATTGTTATGGATGTTGTTCCCAATATACCGGACTACTTGATCAGACCGCAGATCTGCAAAGCTGGATTTTGGTTTGGCAGTGAGTGCTACATACGTTGCAATTCGTTTTCTTTTATTTGGCGCTCTTTTGAAAATACATGGAAATTTCATTTCCAGCTAAAAAAGCGAAGACGCTGTACTTTTACATACCTATAGGCATTAGCTTGATCTGCAACAGTTTCCTGTTCGTATGGACCGCGCTGAGAATACTGTATCACAAGAAGCGCATAGACCGTCAAATGGAGAACTCGGAGAGCCGTTGCCACGACAACAATAAAGAAAGGTTTTTCTTTTTTTTTTTTTTTTTAATTTCAAACTATTTGTCCGCGATGAATTCTCGACTTTGCGCCGAATGTGTATTGCGAAAGAGAGATAAGAGATTATATTTTTGCTCTCGCACAGGTTCTGGGTGTACCTGAAGCTGTTCATCTTGATGGGCTTAAATTGGATCATGGAACTGGCAACGTGGTTGTTCGACAACAAACCGTACGAGGTCTGGTTTTTCGCAGATCTGTTCAATTCCTTGCAAGGCGTCCTAATTTTCATCATATTCGTGTGCAAGAAGAAGATCATACGGCAGCTGAAGCAGCGATTCGGTTGGATTGACAAAAGTCCGTGTTGTCATTTTAGATTGAGGCGTGAGAACAGGTCCACTTCAACCATCGCGCAGATTATCACATCAACGACGCAATCGGAAGAAGTAGTGCAGGAAATGCGAGAAACCAATTCCAACGCGCACCCGAGCGTTTCCGCAACAAGTTCAAATCGGTCCGGTTGTTAGCCGCCGGATTGCGCGAAAAACGCATTAGCTTGTACGTCTTATTTTTATTTTTACAAGTCTATGTCAGAGTACATGATTGAAATATATGAAAAATTACAGAAATATATTTGTGAAATACTTACAATTTTTCGCATATTTTTTTTCGAGCTCCACAAATCGGGCGCGTAGCACGAGAGATTTGAAAAAGCTTTTGTTCACAGAATTGGCTCCTGTCTGCGCAAAACACAGCTCCCGTTCTCGTCCACCAAGAACGAGAACTCGCAAAATGGTCGCTCTCGATGATCGATTTCTCTCTGCTGCGAGAAGTCGATTCGAGAGAAAGTTACTAGATCTCGCGTTGTGAACGAGACTGAGGCGCGTTCCACAGGTTGGGTTTAAAGGTAGACAAAACTCCCTCTCGATCCCCTTACCAGCCACTGCGTTTAAAGTGGTGAAAGTAGACAGCCGGGATTTGTGGGTGGGTCGGTGGGTTGTGAGTGTTTTTAAAAATGTGAAAACAGCGTTCATGGACTATGTACCAGTACGCATGTGAGTGATTTATAAAGAATTAAAACCGTCGCGTGAGAAAATCACTGGAACGTGGATACAGACTCGGAAAGACGACCCGAAGATTCTGCGAATATATATATTATAGACCGAGTGTGCTGTCAGAAATAAAAATAGTAAAACGATGAACGCGTTGCTGCCGTTAATAGCTCTGAGCGTGTGCGTTACACATGCTTTCAATCTCGAGCCACGAATACCCATTATCAAAAGAGGCTTCGAGGGTTCCTATTTCGGCTACTCGGTCGCCGAACACATAGACGTTTCGTCGCCGATATCCGTTAGCAAGTATGTGCACTTCATGTTATATCACAACACCGTGATGTAGTTGTATGTAAAAGTACACACAAAGATGACTTGTTTTTTTTTTTTTTAAAGAAATTAATCTCACATATCGTCACTCCCTACGTATAATTACATAAGTGTCACATATGGAATTTTCAGTTTATTGCATAGTGACACTTAGAAAGTCATGTTCTTTATGGTCACCCAATATTTAAAAAAAATATTCATAAGTAAGGTGCAAATTTGAAACCGAAAGATCCCTAACTATAGGGAAACATATGAAGCTCTATACTTTTAAACTGCTCTCCTCTAAAATTTGCGTTTTGGAGTTANGGGATTATACGTAGGGAGTGACGATATATCTCTCAAGTACACAATTTTTCTTTGTAGGATATTGGTGGGTGCACCTTTAGATCAGAATCTGCAGCCTGGAACAAATCGGTCAGGTGCATTGTGGCAATGTCCGTTGACAACATACACGAGAGATTGCATCCAAGTTCCCACAGACGGAATGAAGAGTACGTTGAGAATATTTATATTATTTTTATTATCGTAATAATTCTATTTGTAATAACCGAAGATGTATTTGTAATACTGTATTCGATGGACTCGACAATTCAGTTCATTCACCACTCATCATTCTCTGTTAATATTTCTTTACTATTTAATTAATTTGAATGTTGAGAGAGACATTTGGGTTGGAGATGCGTCGTATTTTCGTAATAAGTACATTGGATTATAAATTTTGTTCACTCAATTGCAATGCTATGTATAATAAGATGCTTTTTTTTGTTAACTTATGTTTCCACAAACCAAACAGTGGACGATGGTCTATTAGAATCAAACGATTCAAGTAAGTGTAAAACTCAGCAAGATCCTTGCAGAATAAATTGAATGGAGACTTTGAGGATTTTTTTTTTTTTTTTACCATACTGGTTTGCCACATCCAAATTGCATACATCTTTCTTGCATATTGAATATCATTGAGTTGAAAGCAAGAAAGCATGCAATATGAAAAAAAAGAACATTAATCGCTGTGATTTGTTACATATTAATCTTGTATTGAATTTTTCAGTTTTTGCATATATTTGCTCTTCTCCACTTTTTTTCCAGGTTTTTTATTTTTTTAATGCAAATTAACATTTTAACAATTATAGTTTGTAATAACGACACTGAAAATTGTGACTGCAATATACAATTGCTTGCATTTTATTTTTGTAAAAAGCATAAAAATTTTTTAACAATTACTTTAGCATTTCTTCATTAAAATTACTTATACTTGTATTTTTCTGAGCTCTGCAATTTACTAACTTTGTGCCGCAAGAGGAGTTATCTTCTCTCTATTTATTAATTCTTGCTGGTGCTTTGCAACTGTTATTTTGACAGCATGATAGCATTGTGAAAGCAATAACAGATGTTTAATACTTATCACAAATCATGATGTCTAAAGAATTTGCTACAGTGTACAATTGAAATATATTGATACTTGCAATGTAATTCCTAAAAACAGATATGAGACTCAAACATTTTACAACATTTTACAGTTATGTTAAAGCTATGATTTTTTGTTTCAGCTTCGGAGTCGAAGAAGGAGGATTTAGTACCTCCAGGAAATGACGAGATTAAAGATGGTCAGTGGCTGGGAGTTACCGTGCGCAGTCAAGGTGTAGGTGGCAAAGTAATGGTGAGTGTGTGGAAGAAAGCACAAACATGATAATTACATAGACAAATTTTTCTCTTACATATTCACAACTCTGCTTTGTTCTGGCTAGGTGTGTGCTCATCGTCATATTGTGAAAACAGCGGACTCGCAGTGGGGCCAAGGCCAGTGCTACATACTGTCACAGAACTTGGAAAGTATCGAACTGAGAAAGCCTTGCTCCGGAAAACCTACGAACAAGTAAGACGAGCAAACTGTCCGAAAATGGCTCGTTCACTGCACTTTTGAATTTTTAAATTTTCTCTCCATTTTATGATTTCTTCGATATTTTTCTCAGAGCACACGAACAGTTCGGTTACTGTCAAGCAGGGACCAGCGGTTTGTTCACTTCGGAAGATCGTATTGTTATCGGCACACCGGGTCCGCACACTTGGCGCGGAACACTGTATCTCTTCACTGTGTCCGACGAATTTTTAACTAGGGACAACACGATTTACAACACGCCAATGCAAGATACCTCCTCGCCCGTGAATAAATACAGTTATCTAGGTAAACTTATTCAACGTAAAAAAGAAGTTTTAGTATTGTTTTAAAAATTTTCATTTATATTGGATAATATAATTAATTTATCACACACTTAATGTTGCAGGAATGTCCGTAGCTGTTGGGAATTTCTTTGGCAAAGGTTTGGTTTACGCGGCGGGAGCACCTCGTTCCAACGGCACGGGTCAAGTGATATTGTTCATCAGGCACGAATTCAAACCGGAGATGGACGTTGCTCTCATCTTGAACGGCGAGCAGTTCGCCTCGAGTTATGGATACGAGATCACGTCAGCAGATATAAACGGAGACAAGTAAAGCAACGTTTTATACTCTACATTTGTTATCTTTGTTTCTTTTATATACTTTGTCATTGTTTTGTAAGCTGTATATTGTCGCACATATATATTACTATCTTCTTTTTCTACTTGGGATATTTACTCTTTTTAGAGTAACCGATTTAGTCGTGGCAGCGCCGTTTTATTTCACCAAGACGGAAGGCGGAGCTGTGTACATTTATACAGCGCTAGATTTGTGCAAAACCACGAGGGATAACGAGAAATGTGCTCCCGTCAAGCTCGTTGGTCATGAGGAATCGAGGTGAAGTCACATTTTTGTTGCTTTACCTGACTCGGGTCGACATGAAACGTAATAATGTCAAATTGACAGGTTCGGATTCGCACTGACGAATTTGGGTGATTTGAATAAAGACGGCTTCGAGGACATTGCGATTGGCGCTCCGTACGAAGGCAAGGGAACAGTTTACATCTACTTGGGCTCCAAGAACGGCATCATTAAAACACCGTCGCAGGTGATAAAAACTCTTCCGCGTTCTCTACTGCCTCGATCTACGTGCGTTTAATTGTTCTAACCGATTTTATTGACTTAACAGATCATTCACGCCGATGATGTGCCCACACCACTCAAAACTTTCGGTTATTCGTTAAGCGGAGGTCTCGATATGGATCACAACGGTTATCCCGATCTTTTGATCGGAGCTTATGAAAACGACGCGGTCGTACTTCTACGTTCCAAAAAGATAATCGACATCACTACTTACATACGATACGCCAAGAAGGACGGAGTGTATCACGATACGATGGAGCCCATCGATCCAAACAGGATTGGCTGTTTGGCCGATCCGGATTCGAATCACACATGTTTCTCATTCGAGGCTTGCTGCAAAACGGAATCACTGGTGAAGGAAGAGTCTATGCAGAATCTGAAATTGAATTATTTCATCGAAGCGGAAACTTACACCGGAGCCAAGAAGTTCTCGAGAGTTTGGTTCGGTGCCAATACGTACACGCGTCCTCATTACGTTAACCGAACAGTTACCTTAGATACCACGAAGTTGATACACTGCCAGAAGGAGACTGTCTATTTGAAGGTAAAATTTAGAAAAAACCGAGGATATTCTGTATTTTGTGTAACGTTTTGAAAAATGTGGCGTACGCGCGTTAATTTTATTAAAACTAATTAACTATTAAACTAACAGGAGAACACACGCGACATCCAATCTCCTATAAAGTTTCGTTTGAATTATTCGCTGATACAAGAGGAGCCGGTTATGCCTCCGGAAGGCGCTTCCTTACCCAAGATGAAGAATTATCCTATACTCAATCAGCAAGAAGCCGCGCGAGTGTTCGAAGCTGTATTTCAGAAAGACTGCGGTAACAACGACATTTGCGAGAGTAACTTGGAAGTAATGGCCAAATTGAACTTGTCCGGTGGGTGTTTGTTTCTTCATCTTAAGAGAAAATTTGTGAAACTTTACACACATTGTACAATTGCATTAATGTTTAAAAAATTCAGCTTCCTCAGTAAAGCTGAACTTTTACGAGCTGCTTCTGGGCGAGAGGGAGGAGATAGTGTTGGAGGTGAATGTGGCGAATGTCGGCGAGTCCGCGTACGAGGCTCAGCTGTTCATCGTTCACTCGCAAAGCTTGAACTACATTGCCAGCAAGAGCAACGATTCTGTGATATGCAGTCTGCATAATGCCACCATGGTGTCGTGTTCGATCGGTAATCCGTTCAAGAAGGACAAAGCGGTGGACATACAAGTGAGATTCGATCCCAAGGGTCTCGAAGACAACGAGTCGCAACTGAATTTCACGATTTTCGCCAATTCCACATCGAAGGAAGTCACGGAGAAGCGACCCACCGTGTTGCAGGCTACAATTTTGAAACGCGCCGAGCTCTCAATTAAAGGGTAATCTCATGCGATTGTACAATATATGTTTTCACGACACATCACACAGCACTAACGTTATTTGTCTACTTACAGGATCGCTAAAACTCAATGGGCGTTTTACGGAGGTCCAGTGGTCGGTGAGTCCGCGATAAAACACTTGAACGAGATTGGACCGAAAGTGTCGCACATTTACGAGGTGTTCAACGAGGGTCCGTGGAAAGTCAGCACCGTGGAGGTGCGCATTTCGTGGCCGTATGAAGTCGCTAACGACAAAGCGCACGGAAAGTGGTTGTTGTACATCGAAGAGATGCCAACGGTTCAAGGTACTGAAACAAGTTAGAATATGTGATAAAACTTGAGCTCACGAATAAAGTCAAATAAAATTTGTATTTGATTACGTGAATGATTCAGCTTTGGGAGACGGCGAATGTATACTGCCACCGGGACACGTGGTCAATCCGTTGAGACTGCAGGATAGTATCACTTTCGACGGCCTCGACATTCTCCAACCTGCGTCACGTCCGTCGGCGAATGAACATTTCAACAATTACACCAATCACGTAAGAGTAACGCGAGACACGGAAAAGGTTGTAAATACGCGAACGGTTATCGATAAGGACGGACGTCGGCATCGCGTGGTCGCAATGGTAAGATCCACTGTTTTTTTTTACCTTTCCTCAAATTTCGATGAGCGCAAGATTTTACAATAGAAGATCTTTCTGTTACTTTACAGAATTGCAAAGCCGGCACGGCAAAATGTTTCGACATTACGTGCTACATATACAACTTGCAGAGAAAACAGGAAGCCACGATCACTGTTAAAGCGAGGTAACAATTGAGATGTGAGAAATAATTCTAGTGACTAGATTCGCGATTTTTTCACGCGTGTCGATTTTCAGACTTTGGAATTCCACTCTGGTCGAGGATTATCCGAAAGTTGACATGGTCAAGATAGGATCCACCGCTAGGATAGTGATACCTCCAAATATTGTTATACAGCAGGAAAACTTGAAGGACGATCACGCGATTGTAAGCATATCTTGTTACAAAAGTTGGTTACGTAAATCTGTCGAATTTTGTTTTTGTTGTTCAAATACACGAAACAAATACTTAGGAAAATTAGAGAAAGTCTATGCGTCTCCGCCGCAAAATTTCTAATAAATAATGTTGTTTCGAACTCACGTAGGCTGAGACGATTGCGTATCCTGATCTGTTGGACCAGCAGGAAGTCGAGCCCATACCGCTGTGGATATACATAGTGGCCGCGGTCGCGGGTATTCTCCTGTTTATTTTGCTTACATTGGTGTTGAGAAAACTCGGTTTCTTCAAGAGACGACGCCCCGATCCGACGCTGTCCGGCAATCTCGAGAAGCACAGAGACGATAATCCGGAAAACGAGGCGTTGTTCAAACACTGAGATTCAACTAGCGGCTCGAAGCATTCGAAATAATCGCGGCAAACTGTCATAATTACTTAAAAAAGAAACTGTAAGTACTTATGATGCAAAGGTACATATTTGCGCGCGCACGCGCGTTTTTTTTTTTTTTTTCTCGTTTTATACCGCCCGAGAACTCACGGGATGTGCGTATTTCGCACGCACGAGCAGCTAAAAAAACACGCGGTTTTATTGATAATATAGATTGTGATACGCGTGTAATGCTAGATGTTTTACGCGACGAGGCTTTTTTTTCCTCGAGAACGTTTGGGAAAATTTGTACACCAACGCGCTCGAGTTATTTGTTGAAATATTCTTTCGGGATAGAACGCATCACATTATTTCGATCGATATTATGTACGACGTGTTTATTTAATCGTAATTCTTCAGATATACGATTAAATAAATAAGTTCTTTCATGTTTTCATCTTCAAAGCACACATCTGCAATTTTGGCATTTTGTATTGCATGTATTGGTTTGAAAAAGAAAATTGTCTGTTTTTTTTTTGCCAATTACAAAGTTTAATGCAAAATTCCACAAAGGACGAAAAAACAAAAGGAAACACACCGAATAGATAAATAGGACATGAGTTTGAACTGACGGCTGCTTCATCCGATAAAGAGGCACTTATTTCGTAGGGTAATGAAACATTCGTTTTATTATATATCGTTTTTAATTCTAGCTGTCGAATGTATAAAATAGAATTCTTAATATTTCATAATCTCACATTTTACTCGTGCCATACGCATTTAAAATAGCGTTGACATGATTAGAATCGCATCAAATCGTTTCTCGCGTCGTTTTAAGTCTCGAATATCTCCCAGCAGAGAGTATTTATTGCAAAAATGGAAGAGAAGACTTACGTTACTTAAAACAGATTTCCATTTGCACTTCTAAGGATTTTCTTCCGCATTTCGATTAAATTGCGTAAGTTTTATCAAAATCGCATTATGCGAATGTTAACGTAAACATATTAGTACGTTTAGAGAGAAAAAGCCAGCTTTTTTTTTTTTTTTATTTTTTTAAAACTATTTATCCAACAACGCGTGAAGTAATCGATTACGTAAAACGAAATTTCACACGAGGTTTGTGTGTCACAAGAATACGCCAAGATGTGCAACAATTCGAATCAAGTTTTAAATAACGAGAGCAAAAATACATTCAATATAAAAAAAAAAGCTTGCTCTTTGAAATATTTGGAAATTGCATTTTGCGGAATTGTTTTTACAGTCCGCAACAATCGACGTAATGGTGTGTCTTTAATGCTTCTGTGTATCGGAGAGACACGGTAGATGTTTAAATATTTGTTGCACGTTACATCGCTTTAAGAAACGAGAGATCTTTTTAATTAACGCGATATATACAAACACGCTTACAGCATCTCGCAAACAAATAGTTTTTTATTTGTTGTGTGGTGAGGAAATCATTCCCCGTATATTATGATTTTGCGCGAAACACTGCCGCGTTTGCGTTTTTTTTTTTTAAATAGAGACTGCTAACGCGCACACACATACGTGTGAGTGTGCGAGTTTTCAGGTAATATAATGTTATGATCTTCCTGCCGATGTTTGTTATACTATTCTCTATAAAGACAAAAAAAAAGAAAGAAACGTTTATATATATTGTATACGTATATATATATATATATATATATATATATATATATATATATTATATATATGTATATTTATAAATATTAAAATTTTATTATATAGAAATATTTTTATTATTACACGTATACAAAATTTTTGAGTAATGTTACGCGATGATGAATTTTTGTATTTATCCCTGTAGCAGATAGAAGTAACATATCTGAATGCATTTTTTATTATGTAATGTCAAAATAAAATTTTAATTAGTCATACACGTTATTCTTATAACGTTCGAATGTTTCTTATCTCACCTCAAATATTTCAACAAACACACACACACACACACATGAACTTACATTCTCTGGAACGTTTTGGTATGAAAAGAACACGGGAATAGAACTCCATCAATAAAATGTTACGTACATTTGAAACAGAACCTACTGCGACGATCATTGCGTTTAGAAGTGATCTTTAGATTTGCTGTAATATATTTTCAGATACTGGCAATCTGAGATCATAAACCTAAGAATGAATAAATATTACTTGTTGACAAATCCAGTTAATTAGCGATATGAACTGTTTTATATAATATTATGTAATCGATGTAAATTTACCTGTACAATAATACTGTCAAGGGGACGGTACTGGCGTGCCACAAGGAGTGAGCGTCAAATATCCAAAAGATTGGCGGAAAGTCTGCCAGTTCGAGCAGAGTGACGAGAACGGTCAATACATTGAACCAAACGATCGAGCGCGCGTGAAGCAGTTTTCTCCGATTGAAGTACCACCACAGCATCGTTATCGCGAAAGTCGTGAGGCCTGAAATTTGTAACTTCTTATTTTCGCGAAGATAAATTACTTCTTCCTCCCTGCAAAGAATCGGTCACTCGATACAAAAGACTCACCTATCGCTACATTGAATGCCATATTGTAGCCATAATTAATATTGCCTGACCACAAATGTGACAAATGCATGTACAGAATGCTCACATATCCACAAGTTATTGCAACAAAGGTTCTAATCTTTCGGTAAAGTATCCTAAAAGTTGTTTTTAATAATTTTATATGTAACAACAAAGCAGAGAACTTGTTGAGTATTTTAGATTGTAAGAATCAAATGTGTTTAAAAATCATTTATTCTTATGAACATGCATTGGAGGAAGAAAGGATGATCAGTATCCCCTGTTTTAAGTATAACATTTGTTACGCACAGAGAAGGAGAATAAAGAGGGAGAGAAAGAAAACAAGAAATTTATACACTTTTTACACAGTACCTCAAGAGCATGCAGTACAAAAGTGTAAGTACCATACTAAATGCGCACGAATAGTCCATGGCTTCTGTAAATGGCCTATCTCGCGAATGGAACACAACGGACCAAAACCATCCGTTCAAGCATATCTATAATGAAATTACGGTCTCTTTAAACAAATTAACTCGAGAGAGCTGTGAATTATAGAAGAACTGACAAGGACAGTGTACGCAAATGGGAAGTTAACGAAGAGCGTACTCACAAAACTGAAGTATCTCCAAGCGTGAAACATAGGCCAGGCGCTGTCCACGTTGTTTTTAAATTCCCGAAACATTTTCCAATGAGCGTAAAAATTCAATAACGAAAATAAAACCGACGCGGGCTCCTGACACCCGAATAAACGAATAAACGGCCACTGCAAAAACGAAAGTGTCTACGTACATTGTTGCTTTGCATTTGTTTGCAAAGTTGATAACTTTTTTAAAAAAATGTGTCATTTAAAAATAACACATACTTATATGTAAAGTCGCGTAACATTTTATATTTTTCACGTGTTTTCACTTACTTTTCCATGAAATTGCGGTACCTTCAATCCATCAGTTACAAAGGAGTCGACAGTTTTCCACATGCACATGTAACTGCAATCTTCCTTGCACGACCAGTTCATCAGAATTAAGGAGAAGGGAGGCTGCTTCTTAAAATTTGTTTCTACGATGTACATATGTGTGTAAATAAAAACTTGTTTTTACACATTGAAAGATTGACTGATACATTTGTCATTATGTACCATTCTCGCAATTGCTACTGCGACACAACGCCAAGCATTTGTTGTATATGCGCGACCTGTCACCTATCGAACCGACCGCACTCCCGACAAGACAGGTCTGAAGAATCAAGAAGACGAAGATCCGTCCCGCTTTTGACATATTACTGACATTTACCGGCGATACATCTGTCACAAGACCGCCGAAGTTCACAACACCTTCGACCAGAGATGCCAGTTTGCGGACGCTAGCAGCATGCTCAGCAAGTAGAGGGAATACACAGACGAAACGCACACAGGCGAACAGCCGTGTACGTGTGCGCTCAGCGCCTTGGCGAGTGGCTACTCGCTTGTGTGCGTGTCCCCTTCAGTGCTGCCAGAAATGGCCCGCACTTACGCATGTGCGTTGGTTTGGTGACCCTGCTGTAGACCGCACAACTACAAATATTACAGCAATGTTAAACTTCAAAAAATAATTACGTGTATTAAGAATAGAGGAAAAGATAATGGCACATCGAGATAACTCTTTATTTATATTTCACAGCTTAATTGTAATACATAAAAATAACTTTCTATTTCTACTGATAACATATACCAATCCCAATATCTATGTTACATTAGAATTGTTAAAAAATGTTATAAAATAAAATACTTTTTCATAAACGCCACATTATAAAAACATTTTTATGCTGTGTTAACGATCTATAATATACAGGGTGTTCGACAATTACTTTAAAATCTCTCGTAGGTAGGTAAAAGGAGTAAAACTAAGTCAAAAAGTCTTGAACCATTTTTTTCTATTACATATAATAAAGGAGTAATTATTGAATAAATCAAGCCAATCAGCGCCGACCATTAGCCGGGAACGCTCACGCACATCAGGCGCGTGGTTTACTGACGTGCGTTCGGCTAAAGGTCGGCGCTGATTGGCTTGATTTATTCAATAATTACTCCTTTATTATATGTAATAGAAAAAAATAGTTCAAGACTTTTCGACTCAGTTTTACTCTTTCTACCTGCCTACGAGAGATTTTAAAGTAATTGTCGGACACTGTACAAAAATACAAAGTTTATTCATGCTGCTTACACTTTTGTGACTTTTCCGCTGAACATACACGTGTGTGAAAAGATAAGAAAAACAAAATAAAGTGTAAAAAGCAACACGAACAAAGAAACAAATTTTTGATATACATCGTTGGTACATACTTAATTATTTTAACAGATTTTTTATCGTTGTAAAGAGTAAAAGACAGTTTAACTGCACTTGTTGCATGAAAATTCTCTTTCTGGTAAAAAAAAATAATTTTTGTAGAAAAGCTTCAAAATACAGTTTTGATCAAAGGAACATCATAATAGTAAACAGAAATTAAGTAGGTCCGCATTTAAGGTCTTCGAAACATCTTTAATAGAAGATTTGATACTTGATACATGATGTTTCCTCAACACTGTCTCTAAATTATGTATCCTCGTCCTACAACAAATAACAATATTTTCTGTTTGTAAAACTATATCTGTACGTGGCGTGCGCGTTTAATCTGTACACAGTGTGAACACAAACTCACCTCTACCCGTTACTTTTCTTGATTCTTCATTGGATCTGCCTAAGAGTGACTTGCCTCTGCCGCCTGCGGTTGCAAACGTTCATGTAATTATTTACAAATTGTAATTTTTCGAAATGTAATCGAAACACACATTGTACCTAATTGTAGTTATGCATGTTGTGTCGTGTACTGTTTGTGTTGTATGCCTGTTTGTTTATATGCTTGTGTTTGATGCTTGTTTTTGTTTAAATAACTGTTAAAGTATTTGTGAGAGTGAGTAAACGTGACGTGTGGATAAAAATATCATTACATCTCGTACGATTGACTTACCGATACTAGGAAAGTTGGAATTATACGCTGCGGCATCATTGTTCACAGTAAGACTAGCACATGCTAGAAATACAGATAAACGTAAGATGCATATGCATTGCGAACATGTAATGTTATGAGAATAAAACCTCACTCGAATATTAATTTATATTTAAAAAAATGACTCGAACACTATAATTGCAAATAAATTTGTATGATATAAATAAGTCATCTACTTGTAAAATGAAGTTTTCGAACTTACAACTTATATTCGGGGGCTTCATTGGTTTTTCATTCAACTAAAAGAAACGGGAAAATTAGCGCAAATGTTTTACTTAACATGTTTTACTTAACGCATCAGTTTTCTTTATAGCCAGACACATAGACAGTATATACATAACATACACCATTATAATTAGATGCAAATACAATTAGGAGACGTGTATGTTTTCCCATGTAAACCACTGCACGTATAATAAATAAACTATCTTTAAACAATCAAAATCATTATTTAGCACTTTTGTAGGTAAAGACATATATGTCCTAACTGTACACATGCAGTCAAACGTTGTTCCTTGTTGTGCACACGCAGAACGCTCGATATTGCATATAAAATGAAAATAATCTTTGTGCAAAAGTATGAATTTACATATTTCAAAAGAAGAAAAAAAGAAATAAAAAGAACATATTTAGAATAGTGGTCAACTCGGTCTTGACAACATTAAGATCAGTGGCGTTTGACTGTAATGCGTTATATATAAATCAAAAAAATTAAATAAATATATATAAATAATATAAAGATATATGTAAATTAATATGAAAATCACATAAATACGTACATAAGATGGCACCCATTTACTTTTGACAGGTTCCTCAACAGAATTCTTGACGGATTCATCAAGATTTGTATCATCAGATTTAGAACAACCAGCTTTATCAGCGAGCTTGTTGATACTTTCATCCGATCCGTACTGAATAATTTTTATTGGTGCCGATTGATTCCGACGACGAAGTTCATCTTTATATGACCTGCTAGATACTTTTATTCTATGCTGCTCGCTGACCTATAAAGATACATCAACCGTTGTGATTAATACTATTGCATAGATTTTTTGCGTAAAATAATTTTATCGATTTACTTACATTTGTCGAAGAGAGGATCGCAGCATTTTCAGGTTCAGATAGATCAGACATAGAGTTATCTACGATTTTCATATTGTCCAGCGTCCTTGTCACGGTGGCAAAGTTGTCGAATCTCTCTTTCTTGGGATGATGCACTCCCGGGCGCAAATCTATTCTGAGCGATTCGCAAAATTCCTCGCAAAATATCCACACCCAGCGCTGCAGCTCGAAACTACTGCAGGCGGTGGGATTGGTGCTGTACTTGTGAAACTTCAGAGACACAGAACAAAAATATCGTCACTAACTCGATGCGCTTTCATATATTGTACATAATAAAGAAACGATCAAAAAACAAAAACTACCTACAGCACATTCGGAGCCTATATCAGACATGTACGTGCAACGCTTAAACATATGCATGGCATATGCGGGAATGAGCTTGACATTACGATCGTCTCTCTCTTTGTAAAGTTCCTCCGCCATACGTGCGTACAATGTTTCCAGTTCATAGACAACAAACTGTTCAGTGTCTCGTTCTAAAACAAAAATAGAATTTAGTAGTAGTTAAGTGGAGAGTTTTACAGTGTCACACAATAGAAATGTACTCACTCACGGCATGACACAGTTGTTCCAGTAAAGACCGCACTGGCAGTAAATTCTCGTTTGTTGTATAAAAAGGCGGATACTTGTCTTGCTCGTTTATATACGGCGCCAAGAAATCGACCAACTTCGCATATATATCAGCGAAGTTATTTTCTCCGCCTGCGTATTCCACCGGTATACCATGAATCTCCTTAGATGATTCTAATGCTTCTCGTTTATATCCCAATGGGATTGGGATGCTGACAACTACATTTTGAGTAGTCTCTATGCCATTTTCTAACGAAAAAATAGACACCGCGTATTCCGCAGGAAAGTACTTAATTTTTTCAGGTGCAACAAGCTCCTTGAAAAAGTAATTAGTGTGTATCAGAACAAATACTTGTAATGATAAATCTGCAATGATAAAAGAGATAGATATTTACAGTTGTTCTCTCTTGCTTGGAATGTTGTTCAGGTCAATAAGATTAGTAAAAACACAACAGAAAGACTCAGTGAAAAAAAAAAAAAACAATGTGCTTCCTAATAACAGCAAAACATTTAAGAAAGGATTTAGGTACAGCATTACTTACTTTTCTCGCTCAAAGCTGTTTTAATCATTGATTTTATGTTGTGGTTCATTAATTCTTTGAACCTTTGCTGTTCCCTCGCTTTGGCTTCAAGATGATTTATGTCTTCTCCAAGAGTAGTTCTCTTCACAACCGATATCTGTGAAGTGATTTTGTCTTTTTTCGCCATGGCTTCGTACTTTCCTTTTTCTTGCTTAGTTAAATTCTACATAAACAAAAACACCTTCTGTTGAACTGTGTAAATATTTCAGATGATAAGTCTCAAGAGTACAACACATGTATTTACATACACAACCTTACATTAAAAACATACATTAAATATACACACACACATATCTTGAGTTCCAAAATAAAATTGAAAAATAATAAAATAACGAATAATCGAAAAATGATAAAAGATACGGTGCAAAAATAACAAACTTGAACACGCATTCATGCAACCTTCCACTGTGATTTTATTGCACTTGACACTTCGAATTAGTTCGAATCAGAGACCGATTGTCTCGCAGAGTCGATTCAGGTACGAATATCGAAGTACGTAAACTCGGAAGAGTCGGAAGTGAAAGATAAATTTTTCTCAACTTTTCTCTGTATGGTCACATTTGAAACTACTTCAAATTGAACAGCGCGCGCGCGCATGTAAAATCTCAACTTGCATCTTACTTTTTCTTGCATTTTTATCTTGTTTTGAGTCACGCACCGTCGGCCTTCGGATACCCTCTGAACGCTACGAAAGCGCGACGAACATATACGTCTTCTACGAATCTCTTGTCAGAAGATCGGATAATTTTATTACCTTCCACTCTGCACTGCAATCAGGATCCAATTGCACGTCTCGAAGTCCGTTTGGGAAAACGGCGCCTTGTCTTTCCGCACGAGTTTTCCAGTCAATCATAAAGAAGTAGAACGCGTTTTTCCCGCCTTTTTTTGGCATTTTTACTATCTTTGCCCGCGGAAAGAGTCTCAGAAAACAAGTTCTTCCCACAAAAACTTGAAAACACTGATCGTGAGACGAAAAGACGATGCGATAAGAACGTTCGCGGACGATCTGTGATACGTTGTGGTGTCGATTAACAGGACGTACCAGATGTGATAACTCAACACTCAAACCCGATCGGCAAAGAACACAATCGTGTCGTCCGGAGCCAAGAGTGGAATAAGAGTCAAAGAACTCAACGGCAGCAACTAATTTGTCGAATCTATAAAAAATCAAAAACAGAGAAAAAAACACTGCACACTTAACTCTCGCGTCTCATTGGTTTTTGCAGGACCGGTTATATTCTGCATTTTTTCTATACAATTCAACTTCCTTTCTACAGATGGCGCTGCGTGTCATTTCGCGAAGTTCCCGCGCATAAATGTTCGATACTTCGAGAATCGCAACATCGAATGAGAATCTCGAATTTTGAACGGTCTCGCGTATGTAACGTGTTTACGTCGTTGGAAGTCGGTTTGGGTTGCGGATTGAAGCATTAGCATTTAGTGAGGAGAAAGAGAGCCAATCTTAAGTATGGATTTCGTTCTAATTGATAAGTTTCAGTCTAATTCGAATCTTAATCTGTGTGATAATTATTTAAGAACAGGAAGAGAGAGAGAGAGAGAGAGAGGAAAAAATTGTCCATTAAAATACGGAAGTGACATGTCGCAGAGACATGTCGCAATCGACCGCGATCGATCGCAGGGAGTGCCGGAAAACTCCCATCGGCCAATCTACGAATACCATTCTCGCTCAATTCAGCTCGATTGAAGCTTTGGGTAAGTATACGCTCTTTCAATTATACATATCTAATTTTGTCCGCAAATTGGAACCTGGCTATTGTAGAGTTGTTCATATTAACAGATGCGATATAAAGCGCAAGACGTGTTTGAAGTTCATCGGATAATCCCACGTGAAAGGTTTACATCTGAGAAAACGATTACTGTATACTTGTGAAGGACAAAAGCAAAGGAACAAAGTGCACAAGGTACGTAGACTACATCACGAGAGAGAGAGAGAGAGAGAGAGAATCTGTTAAACACGATTGATATAATTAGATAAGAAAGGTAATAAAAACATAAATAGATGCGGGAACAATAAAATTGATAAAATAAATAAAATTGCAGGCGGTAAGCAAGAAAAAGGCGAGTAACGCGTGTGTCTTGAAGAGAGCAATTTTTCCCGCTCGTAAAAACTCCATAGAAATGGAACACTGTCGGCGCGATTGTTTCTACATCCGACATCGCGCCGTGTGAAACTGCAAGCCGCGGCAAGAGGACCGGTGTAACCGAGTGCCTTGCTGGGAGTGCCTTTTTAATGTCACGGAAAGAGTTACCTTTAAGTACCGTCGAATGTCGAATCGCATGAATCGTCGAATTGGGATGGAGTCCAATAATGAGAGAGTAGGAGACAAAGAGTTAGGAGACGCGCGCGGCATTTTCTCGATCGATTTTGACATTAGTGAGACACGGATCGCAAGGACCCGGAGGAGCATCCTTGTTGTCGAGGTGAGGGAGTGAGAATGATGAGGAGGTGCATGCCAGAGACGCTTTGCCAACTCCGTTCCTCCGTTTGCGATCGCAACTAGCGCGTAAATTATGATACGTAATTGCACGTTTCAGTGCAACGTAATTTATAATCGCGACGGTATGTACCCACTACAATTATGCGGTTGTGTTTTCATGTCAATTACGAAGAACTCTAATTCTTCCGCGATATTTATTTATTTATTTTTTTTATATATAAATTAAAACGGCGATATGTATCTGTTATTAATTTTTTCTCATCTTAATGTTAATTTTACATTAGGTTTACACAATACAACGCACAATGGAAGATACGTTTTCGGATAAGTTTGGGAAGAAAAAAAGAAGAGAGAAAATGAAGGAGAGACGGACATGTCGCCTCGCCGGTTCGTTAGAAAGCGCTAGTTAAGGATTGCACCTTGCCGCACGTCGATCGTTTTTATTAAACGACGCTCTGACATCTAGGTTTTCCAGAGGCTTGAACACAATGGTCTCACCTCCGACGAGACCTACTTCTTTCCCGGGATGTTTCCCCATTGCTTTTATTAAGAAAGACGCGACGGCTTCTTCTCTAATAAAAGGATTGCGCGAAGAATCTCTCTCCGTTTTAATCGGTGAACACCTCTGGAACGGATCGATCTCTCGAATGGACGATGACGCAACAACACCGCAACGCGCACATCAGAGATATGTATCAATTATTACAGATATCAAATATATAATCCGCTTCCTCTCCCGGCGAAGAGTCGTTCGTTCCTCGTACGCGGGATCGTTTCGTATGGATCGGGGACGGCGCGGTGCTAATACTTATTAGGTACGAAACGTTTAGCGTTTCGGACACGGAGCGTTTTGCAAGCGATATCGCGCGTCGCGGTGATTGCACCGACGCGATATCCCACGTTAGTATTAATAGCGGATGCGATCTCGTCGAAAATTCACCGGATGTCTCGCCACATTCTTTGTCCGATTCGTGATGAAAGGGGACTTCCTCTCTCTCTCTCTCTCTCTCTCTCTCTCCCCCGCCGCTTCCTCTCTCCTTCCGCACTTGTCATTTCGTCACGAAACGATGGGAACAATTTGATATTTTCGTTCGGTTTCGTATGCGCGATACGTATCGGCCGTGTGTGTGTGTTACAATACGCCGCGTCGCATTGTCGAAGGAGGATAAGTGTCTCGTTCGAACGCTCGCCGAGAAATCGAGTCTCTCCGCTGCGCGCCTTGGAAAATTGCGAAATTTTGCAAACCCAAAAGATCGCAAACTAATTCGCGATCGCGAACCTCGATGAACCTTGATGTTTTTCTCAGATCCGATTTCACCCGAGTGCCGCGAACTCGGTGTCGCATATACTTCCATGTGTACACGTCAAAATCTTTCCATTGTCGCGTTTTGCCAGAAGAAAAAAGATCATTAAGGCCGTGACGCAGTCAATCGTATAATTAATTTGTCTTTGTTCGCCTCCCCGAACTGTCTGAGAAATTTTTTTAAGCGAGCCTTCGCTCGTGCGAACACCTCGCTCGGCACCGACGTCGTCGGCGCTAGAACGGTGTAACTCCTGTGCCCTTACGTTTTACGTAAAATATTCTTTATGCGGAGGTAAATTATATATTTTTCTTACTTTTTTTTTTAATATGAAAACGCTATGTACATCGTTTGCGTGGACAGATTAGAGAGATCGCACGATCATTTCCTCGACAACGCGACTGAGCACGTAACTGAGTACTCCTTTTGCACAACCAACTATAAATCTGTTTTTTTTTCCGAGTTTACCTCATAAAAAAAAAAATATTGCGATATCTTCCCGCAACTTCCGAGGAAATTTTCTTCTAACGAGAGAAACCAATAAAAGTATATTACATTCTTCGTGAATAATGTCAAGTACCGCGCGCGGGGGTTTCAAAACGCGCGTATACGCACACACGTACACACACACACACACACGCGTGCGAAACGTGGGTACACGCACGGGAGGTGTGCGCGTTCAGAAGTTAATCTGAGAAACACGCGTGTGAAGCGGCTCTCATAATAGCATATAATTGCGAGCTGAAGATGAAGTAATCAGATGCGTGCTGGTTCGGTAAAGTCAAGTGAAAAAAAAAAAGAAAAGAAAAAGAGTCACCGAACAGTTTTACATTAAATAGGTAAATTGTACGCTGATCACAGTTGCGATGATAAGGAGAACGCGATATTTCGCATTACTTGATCAGGCTGATAAAGAGAATCAAAGAAAACCGTGAAGGGTTAACGATCGGGAGGGATCAGGGTGAAGGGTCAACCGTCGGTGGTCGGACCGTCCACTTTCTCGAGGCGATTTTCCCGAACGCGCTGCGCAACGTGGGGAAGGCCACGGGGGGGAATCGCGAATAATGCCACGGCGCCATGCGCGATGGAGCACCCAGATTCTTGGCAAGTAGTAGGTCATCTCTCGCGAGCAGAGCGAAGAGTTTTCACTTTCATCGCGACCGAGGGGAATGCCTACTTAGATCCGCGCGCGGCGAACAAAGACATCGCCTCGCGCCGAGCGAATAGAAGCAGCAACAAACGCGTAGGCGGCTTTAAGTATGACACGTGCACACAGCAGCTTCGACAACAACAAGATCGGATATTCATAATCTCCCATTGAATTCACGCAGCCGTGCGAATTTTATGTTCCACTTGGCCTCTCTTCCCTCCTGCTGCGAAAACATCTTTATACGGGCGATGGAGTTCGCGCGTTGCGTGAGCGGCGGCGCGACGTTGAGTCCTCGCGGCCCGAGAAGAGTCCTCCTCGGTTTTGTCACCGACGTCGCCGACGGCGATTGCGATGCCAGAAATAAGCCTCGCGAGAGAGTCGCGGCGGCGGTTGCACGAGCATCGATTAGCGGCAATTCCGCACAAATAAATCTTCCATCTTAGAAATGTTTGTGCAGGCGAGATTGGATTTTAATAAGAGGTTGCGATTGACGCGGTGCCGTCGATCAGTTCTGTTTGATCCACATTGTTGGCCAATCAGATGTATGTGTGTGTGTGTGGAATATCGCGCGAAATGACGCGTGCGCAAAATTGCAGTCGCGGTAATTCGCGGTAAATACGAGCAAACGTAAGCAGGCCAGAAAAAAAAAAAAAAACAGGACGCGGTAACTATTAAGTAACGAAATAAAGAGAACACAACAACGCAACACAATGCAGCTTTCTCGGGATGTGAGACAATTACACAAAACCGTCCGAATCTGATTCGTCCGCGTGCGCATCGGTCATCGCATCGCGACGGAGGGCATCGCCACGACGACGAAAAAAGGATCGGCGGCCTCCAAGCCACGCTCACTTCTTACGTCATGTGATAATAAGCGACCGCTCGGCCTCGGATACGTCGTCTGGGTGACACACTAGTTTCTCACCTCTCGTGGTGCAATTTAGAATGCGCTTCTTCTTCCAGAATTTGAGTCCGCCGCGTGCGGGAGAGATGGAAGACCCAGAGTCTACGGTAAGGAGGAGTCTTGTGAGAACTTCGCAAGAGCGCGAAGAATGAAGTTTTAGGAAAGCAAGTCAGACCCAACATCATCAACCAGAGATATATTCGCAATTTTATCCACGTAGAAGATTCCGATCGGCTTGTACAAACTGTCTCCTTGTGCGAGACTGCGCAATGATCATTAATTTCTCCAATATTACTTGAAATATTGAAGTTTTTACACAGTAAATGTGAAAAACTTCACGCGGCGAGCGATACATCGTGACGCGGAGCCGCGACTCCGTGTAATCTACAACCAGCAGCGCGCTCGATCTTGGAACTCGGATTTTTTTTTATAGAGGAGAATGAAATGTCATGAATGTCTTCGGAATACAATACACGTGCGGACGCGAGAAGGGGAAGGACAGATTGTGATAAAGGATGCGATCGCGCCTAAAGAAGAAGAAGAATGCCGTTCATTCAGGAGGATCCGCGCTGTTCAATTTGAGATCGTAGGCGCGGGCTGTATCCCGGGCTAATCGGTGTGACCCCGAACCTTGATCTTTTCAAGTGAGATATTACATCTCGACTGTCCATAAGTCATTATTATTAACCTGATCTTTAAGGTACACGTTCGAAATGCGTGTCTCGGGGGGACAAAGAAACGCCTCCGCTGTGTGTGCGAGACCATTACTCGTCGAACGAGGAGGAGACGTCTCTCCGCTTCGACGTTGCAGAACGTTGTTGCGCTATTCGCCAACAACGAAATTTCGTACAAGGTCTCGCTTGCGCGAGATGATGTTCTTCTCAGCACAGCTTCAGGTTTTGTTTATCTTATTATACACAAAAGAAGCGTGCCCGCGAGCGTTTGAGATAATTGACTTTTTGTTTCGTAGGTAGGTAGACGAAAGCGCGTGTCTAAAAATACGTCGCCGTCGGCTTCTGAGAAGCGGAGGAGGAACAATACATCCGCATTGAAAGAGATCAAGGAGGAATTCGCGATCGTTTTTCACTCACACGATGAGATGAGAACGATGGGACACGGACGGAGCGGGAACGCTCGCGCTTCAACAGACAACGTCGCTCTCTCGCCTCTTGTTTCTCACACGCGACGCGATTCCGCGGACAGGATTAAGTGGGCGTAACACCACGATTTGTAATTATCCGATAATTCGTGCAACTGCATTCCAACGAGAATATGCATTTCGCAATGGAGGATGCAACCGATCCTACTCGAACCGCGTCTTCCCGTCCACACACAAAAACACACACACACACACACACACACACACGCACAATCGCATGACGTACGAGTTTCGATCGGACGTTTCAACATTTCGGTTTGCCATGTGATTATATCCAGCGCAGGTGTACGCAAAATTGCACGTATCTGTACAGTTTTAATACAGAAACGTGTATTCCCCTCATGACGGAACAAAAGAGGAGCAACTCGCGCGTTAGTTGGTGTGTGAAGTAAGATATTCACGTATCACACGGACAATTGCGAAAGCTCCTGCTTTAATTAACCGCGTTGCGTTCACCGTTCGCAACGTGTCGCGTTTCTCGGGAAAGGGTTAGTTGGAGTAATCCTCGCGCGCCGTGCCGTGCCCTGCCCTGACCTGTTCTCCGCGCGCATCGAACCAGAATCAGCGAGCATCACGGGGGCAAGATAAAAGGATTTGCCTCGCCGTGCGATCCAGACTACGTATGTGCACATGCCTTTCTCCGCGGTCGCTTCTGCAACTTGGCGAAGAAGATGCAAATATCGCGCGCGCGCGCGATATGCAAATTCTCTTCTCTTCGTGGGCAAATGGATGAGAACGCGCGTCGGCACGTGTGCGCCTCTTCCGCCGTATCGGGAACAATTGCTCTCTTGCGAAGGATAATCCATAATACAATTTTCCACAGTGCGATATTAAATTTAATCGCGTCACGATTATTTTCTCGAAGAAGATTCGCCTTAAAAAAAAAAAAAAAAAAAGTTATCATTATCTTCGCGAGCGCGCGCACACACACACATAGTAACATTTTACATTTCATGCTAATAAAAGGAAAGAAGGATGCGATGTTAATCTCGCGAAACAACGCGCACATCTCATTATTATCAAATTGCGATAGCGTGTCTTATTCTACACGCGTTAATAACGGATAATCAATTCTGCGGAATGGTATTAATTTATAACTTAATAAAACAGACGTCAAACGGGAAATTGCAAACAACGTGAAATCTTAATTTTCTAAATTTAGAAAGGCGATGGAGATATATTTAGAAAATTGTAGGAGACAGAGATTTATCAGAAGAGAAAATAAGATAAGAATGAAATATGAGGGAATAGATGAGTCGATACGAATTTTCTTCAACAATCTTCAACAATCGAAAGAAAGAAACGTTCAATTGCGAATTATCTCCTTTCGAGATAAAATAAGTTTCTTCGGGTAATAATCTATTTTTTCAACAATGAAAGGAAGAAACGTTCACACACAATTGCGGATTATCTTCTTCCCTTCTGAGACACGACAAATTTCTTCAGATAATAATCTATTTATATTACGTATTATCAAAACGAATGGATTATCCATTGCATAATAATTCTTCATGTGAAAATCAATTACACAATAAAAACACGTTCGCTCGAAGATGCAAGAAGTGCGCGAGGGTATTACGAGCATCAAAGAAACCGAAGAGCGTCATACGGTAGCGGCGATGGTCACGCAATCGAGGAAAGGATAAAAGTAATATGAAATAAAAGTAATCTGCGTCGTGTTATATAAATTGACAAGAAACGGAAATGAAGAAATATAAATAATAAGCGCGCGTTCGTATCGTGATTTATCCGCGCACGAAGTAATTGCAGATCGAATCGCAATATCTCTCCGTGATTCACACGCGCACATTTCCCAGTTTTCATCCCGGCTAGAGAAAGAGAGAGAGAAAAAGATCTATCTTCTGGCCATTATCGGGAGGAAGAGAACAAGTCTCTCTTCCTAGAGAGAGACTTGAACTAATGGACTTTACTTTCTCGTCTCGTGACTGACATACCGCAGTGTCATTTGAAACACGTCAATTATCTGTGCGTAATCAGTTTTGTCCACGACCCGACGTCGAGGTACAAGGATCTCGCACTTTAAGATCCTTTTGAAGACGCGCGCGATCCTTTCGCGCCCTCACGCCGGCCGATCTCCACATTCTAAGGCAAGGTAAGGCGCAGGTGACGAGACAAGGTGAGGCACGGCAAGGGAGCCGCCCCTCCGTAGACGACGGAGTGTACGCGGGCCCCTCTACTTCACTTGGGGTTCCAACACCATCCGAGAATCATCTTATTAGACCCACACTATATAAACGGAACATGCCAGCATGTCGAGCAGTTACGTACTGACTGTATTCACAGTCGGCCGCCGGCAAAGTGCAACAATAAAAACAACAACGACAACATAGCAACAACGCAACCGCAACACATATCAACGTGGGCGCATCCTTTGTACACACATAGTACGAGTGTTTAATCTCGTCCCGATCGTACAAGTATCGATCGTACAATAGATCGTTCTTTGTGAAGCCTCGCGCGAAAACAAAATTGCACAAAATTTATTAAAAAATCCATCACGAGCGCTTGTCGAAACGACTCTCCGGTGATTTCCGTTGTGTTTCAGTGCTACGTTTTCCGCCGATCGGTTTTGCATTCTAGAGCTGTAGTGTGAGAGAAAATTTATGCGCGGCAATCTTTTTTTTCAATTATTTGAAACGCAGACATCATTTTCTTAGATTCGTCATTCACCGTTTTTCTCTCTTTTCTCTCCGCGTTCTCACAGTCGTAACGAGTGCTCATAAATTTGATTTGAAATGATATTGTATCACTTACGCATAATGTTAAATTGACCAATTTTTTCAGTGCGCGTTAAATTTTCTGCAAAATTATCTCGATTGGTGTTTCTACCGGCAGGTGCGCAAGTTGGCGTAGTTTCAGCACGTTGACCTGTTCACCACCTCGTGTGACATAACATGTATTACCTCCAGGTACGTGTAAGATCAGCTTCGCGCGGGTGTACATGTTATTACATTGAATTATTTATAAAAATTAAAGCGATTTAAACTCGACTGTGGATCTTTTTAAAAATTTTACAAGTCCGTGCATTAACAACTAGATCGTGTGAGAATGTTCGACAAAAATACCACGTCGATTTTCAGAACAAATGTTGTGGCAATCGTGTGAACAAAATTGTCGAATCTCTTCTCTCTCTCTCTCTCAATTGGCAAATAAAATAAAATAAAATCCGGTGTTTATGTCTCATTTTTCATTTGCATCGCGCGTTTTATTCTAACTCTATTACACGTTTCAGCGGTTGCAATTAGAAACGATAGTTTATGATAGCTCGCCGCGATAAAAGTCACCGGTGATATTTATTGTGATGAAAAGAGCAGTTTGTTTCTCGCGTCTCTCGCTGGTTTAGACCGGAGACATTTTTACTCGCGCTTAAATTGCGATGCGAATTTTTGCGAATCACGCGAAGGATTCACATCCTCTCTTCTCTCTCTCTCTCTCGTTGCAAACATTGAAGTTCAATTCCTAGATCGATTCCTATCGACGGAGAAACCACCGCGAGATTTTTCTTTCCTTTTTTTTTTTTTTCTCTGTTCGTTTCGAAACGAACACGGACTCGATGTCGAAAGGACGGAAGATGCCGCCTTCCCCCGCGCGACGAAGTTCGCTTCTGATCATCTCGCGTTGTCGTTGTGGCACATCTCATTACTTCTTCTCATTAAATAATACGACGAGGAGATGAGCATAATTACAATAGCAACGATGATGATATCATCATTAATAGAAACGGAGAAGATCTCGCCCACACGCGAGATCGATTCCGGATGATTTAAAGGATTACGCGCGCGCGCGCGCGCGATTTTCTCAATAATTTCGCAAACTTTATCCGCATCTTTAATGAGACGTTGATGAAATAACGCGAGGAGGAGGTAATGTGTGTGCTCGCAACGGTCTCCTCTTTTTCTTCTTTTTCTCACGCTTTTTCACATTTTCGATCGACATACGGCTCGTTAGTGACGAAGTTGCGACATCCCTCCATCAGCCTTGCACCGCTGCCGGCAGCTTTACATATTCTCCTTTGTGCGCGAGGAAGGTGCACGCCTTCCTCTCCCCGCTTCGTATGTGTGTGTTTATATCTTATATTTTAATGCGCGCTCTTCTCGCTGAGAGAGAAGAACACGTTCGCAATCGAAGTACAGGGTTAAGAGCATAATACAAAGGTCTCGACTGTCGCAATAGAGCACAAGATCCGCGCGCTTCTTCTCCGCGCGCGAGCACACACATTGGCGCAATATCTTGCTAACATTATTGATTCGGTCTGCTCCTCTTTCACGTCAATTTTCTTCTTCTTCTTCTTCTTCTTCTCCGGAGAGAGACGCGCGGCGTTTAATAACGAATTGCGTATATCGTGCCACGCGGGTTGTTATTACGTCGAGAAGAAAAGAGGTATACTCTCCCCTCCTCCGAGGCGCCTCCTCCTCGTCGTCGTCGTCTCTGCGAAATCCCGCGCGTTATTATTGCGCGCACGTTTACGCGAGTTTTCTTTCTCTCGGATCTCGTGTTTTAATCCTGTGAAAAGGATTGCGGCATGTGCTTTTGACAGAAAGAGAGAAAAAGAGATATGAACAATTAATAAAAACAGTCATGCGAGAAGGAAAATAAAAGAAGTTTATAACTCTTTCGCGTTTTCATTTCGCAACTTCATCATCGTACGCACACGCGTCTTTCGAGTGGATATTGTGATTTCTCCTCCAATAAAATGTGATTTAATGCGACAATTTGCGAGAGAATGCAATTAGATATCCTCAGACAATTTTATATCGTTGAGGTGTATAAACCAATTAAAATACTGTATTAATATCAAAAAGAGAGAAGGGACCGAGCGATGATGATGGATGCGAGATGAGGATTGGAATTATTTTATCCAATCGACGTTTCGTCAGACTGTAATTATTGCCATCAATCTCGTCAAAAGTCACAGTCCGGGGTGAGGGGGAGAGAGAGAGAGAGAAAGAAAGAGAGATACGTTGTACTACAAAAAAAAAAAGTACATTTATTTTGATATCTTGACGTACTGAATTTCAAGCAATCTGAGCTCCAACAAATGGAAAGACGCTTGATTTATTAAAATTACACGCTTGTAACGCGATGCGTCTCGCATTAGTGACTGATAAGCAACGCGACAAATGTCAGTTTACACGCGAGAACGATTACGACGATATTCAACACTGAAAGTCGAGGAACGTTCCGTTCCGCGCGCGAGCGAAAGAGATGCGCTATTCGACTCTATGCTATTACTCTCTTCTAAATTATAGGAGACATTAATAACCATTTATTACGACGCGCATTGAAATTGGTAAAGTATCTGGAATTGGTAAAGTATCTAGTATTTTGTTTTAACGAACTCTTAATAATCCGTTAAAGAGAAATTTTTGGTTGCGCCTCTTGCGCACGTCCGTTAAAATATATCAACTTTTTTCAAATTTCATATTTTTTTTACAACAAATTGTAATGTGAAATTTAGTATCAACTTAAGAAAAAACTACTTTGCTTTTCGAACAAAACTACTCTGTAGACACTTTGTAACTGTAGCCGGCCTGGTCGATTTCTCGAAATGTCGACTACTGACATATATGTTCTTCTGTTATAAAAACATCTTCATTGCGCATTCATATCGTAAATGTGAAATGATGCATTGCCACGATAAACTTATACGCATAAGTCGTAAAATATAAATAATAATCACGTTTATACGTAAAGCTCTCCGGAATATATATTGTACGCAATTTTTTGTTTATGGTCGTCACATCTAATTGAGATTATAATTTATCTTATTTTTATATATACTTATTCATTGACAGAAGCAATCTCTTAATAAAGCAATTAAAACGAACGTCAAGTAAACCATTACAATATTAATAAAAATTTTCCAACTATTCCACACAGGAAAATAAATAAAATAATTATATAATACGCGCAATGTATAATAAAATAATTATATTTAATATTTATGATATATTTATATGGATATTTACTAGTAAGATTTTCATCTTCTAAGAGTATAAGATTTAAAATCTCATATAAACGCAATAAACACTTGAACTATAGTTTCTCATATCCATCTTCTCTTCTTTCACGCAGCTGGCCGTACTTTGCGTGACGGTGGCGAGTGTTCTCGGCGACTTACCGCCGGGTACCCGGCGCAACACGTATCTACCGCCCGTGTCGACGAAGGGCTATGATTATCCCAAGCCGACGGTGCCGTTCCCGAACACCACGCCACCGCGGACACCGACCTTCCCCACGCGTCCGACGCCGACCTTCCCCGGGACCAGACCGACGTATCCTACCTTTCCCGGAACTGGACCCACGAAACCCACACCCACTTATACGGATATTCCCGGCCAACCGGGCGGTTTTACCAAAACCACTATTGGCGTAAGTACATCATAGCGTGTGTAAAAATATGCACCATTTTTTATTAAACTGAAATTGAGAACCAGAAGAATAACTTGCTTTTATTGTCTTTACGTGAATTATAACTTATTGTAATCTTTCACTTATAATTTTCTCGCGGAACGGAGGGATAAGGTAAACTAACGCGAATGAGAGAGCAACTTCGGTCCAACTATTTTAACTCTTTGACCGATCGACTTCTTTTTAGCACGATCATCATCATCACGAACCTGGTATGCCGTTCGACTTCAATTACGCCGTGAAGGAGGACGCTTTCGGCAACGATTACTCGCACAACGCCATCAGCGACGGCGAGATCGTTCGCGGTGAATACAGGGTGCAGCTTCCGGACGGTAGAACGCAAATCGTGCGTTATACCGCGGACTGGCAGCACGGCTTCAGCGCGCAGGTCTCTTACGACGGGAATCCCCGCTTCGACAGCGGCTTCAATCGAGGGTATTAGCGTTTTTTTTAGTGTCGAATCTTTTTTAGGGTTGTTCAATTTCCATCGAATCAAAGAGACTTATAGCACAACCACTCGTCGGATATACACGTATATACACACACACACACACACACATATGTCGCAAAATGATCGTTTAATTAACTCTTAGAGGATTGGCTGCCAATATATTGGCTTTGAATCTGCACTTATATAAGACGTCCTACATGTACAAGCTTTGGGTATCAAATATACAAGATTTCAAGAACAAAATGCCGACCCTCTAGGGGTTAAAAAGCAACTGGTACATAGTGTGAATTTCAATCTCCGAATGTTTGAGAACTATTATTCGCTTCATTGCTGACAAAACACTGTACGGAGATCGAGATAATTATGTAGATTTCTGAGTTAATCGCACACACTGCGATGCGTTAATGTTTCACGGAGAGAGAATCAGGAGTTTTCTTCTCCACGGCGACTTCCGTCTCCTCACCGGAAGGCATTAACGCACTGCGATGTACAACATTAAGAAAACACATAGCAGTTCTCAAAGATTTTTGTACATTATTGGTGTGTATATCAGAAAGAAAGTATTGACAAATCCTCTAAATGAAACAAAACATTATATTTACAACAAATCTACTTTGACTCAGTATACACAAAGTTGTTTCAAATATTTACGTGTCGTATCCGTATAAATACGCCTCCGCGTACGCTTTCGGCATATCCTCCGAATTTCTACGAATTCTTCTACCTATTGGTTCGAGATCGTTGTAGCATTTCGCAAACACTCTCTCTATAGCCGCTTCAGCTACCTCCGCTGATACCTTGTGCACTGCCATTACCGACAGTTTAGCTTTGTGTTTCACACAGTCCTGAATCGAATAGCATATCACGCGTTTATAACGTTACTCAACAATGACAAATGATATAAATTTACTTTGTCTCTTCTCTCTGTGGCAATAGCAATTTCTCAGAATGATTTACCTGATGCGTCGCTTTTATATTAAAGAAGGACGAATCGCCTTGTAACATCGAGCTCATGAAACTACAGTGACTCAGATTTGCGGCTCTGATTTCTGTACAGGCTAAATGATCGATATTCTTCACGTCTAATTTATTACGACAGTAATCAAACATGTGAATCATCTCGTGCAAGAGAACACCTTGAATCATGTGTCCACTAGCTGTATTTTGGCAAATAACTACCTAAATAATTAAAAAAACAAAAAAAAAAGAACAATCTTTGGTTAATTATAAAACATGTGTTGGATATAATACAATAACTTCATAAGTTTTTATTCACCAATGTCAAAAGTGTTTGACCACTAAAATATTTGAAATTAAAAAACTCAAGTATCACGAAAGTAAATTACTAATACTAATTTAATTAAGAAATTGGTGCGAGTCATTCAAATGCGTTTACCTGGTTTAATTCCGAATCGTATCCACCGGTTACATTTCCATAACACATTTCGCAGGAAATATGACGACGGATATCCACTTCGCTAATTACATGTGCATTAATTACAAAAAGTAATTTTTAATATCTTCATAATATAAAAAAAATTATGTAACTTTATTTATATCTATATATGTATGTATATAAAAAAAAAAAAAACAAAAAATAAAGTACGAACCATCCGGAACTCTTCAACGCTCCCAGCATGAGTTTCACTATAGGACCTAAGCACAAACAATACGAGCGATAAGTAAGATTTTCATTATTCCATTCTCCTTTCTCCGTTTTAGTTGTGACTCAAATAAAAAATATCTCTCTCACTAGTTCGTATACAATCGTAAACGTTGGCCTCGCATTTAGCCTTGTCTATTCCCTCTCGTCCCTCCAGACCGATCATCATCTTAAGCCAACTACGTTCGTGCTTCTTCCCTCTTCTTTCGGGGTACATGTCGGCTCCCCACAAACCCTCGCTGGTCGAGTTATTTTCATTGCTTTTTTCGTTTTCATTGCTTTTTTCTTTTTCTGTCGTTCCATTAGCAATAGTCATCCTTTTCTCATTTAATAAACAATAATCCTGATATCAGAAATGAATATATGATCAACTACTTAACAATAAATAAACATTAGTCACATGCGCAATAGTTTTGTCTCTAAACAATTGTTTAAAAAAGATGTGTTTATCATTTATAATCACTTGATATTTACTTTATTGAAACAGATAGAAATTAAAGAGTTTTCTCCTCTTCTTCTCTTTCGAAACTTTTCCTCTTTTCCTCCCGAAACATAAACACGGCCGAATTTGAAGGTTACGTAAAAGGTGTGACACATGGGACCGACTGGTTTTTAAGAACTTCCTGCGCATGAGCAGGATTCAGATTAAAATTTGTGCTAATTTTCATGTGATTCAGAAGTTCTTCGAGAACGCCGATTGGCTGTTGGATAGGAACTTCTTCGAATTCTCTAGTCGACAGCCAATCGGTGCACTCGAGCGCTTCTAAACAAGTACAACATTCTATGGCGGTAAACAGGGCGGCAATGAGAGCCGGCGAAGCGGTTTCTTTGGCTGTGATTTGGACTCGGTGAGCACGTTGTCACGTTATCGACGCTCGAAATCTTACCGTGACACGTGCAGACACCGAATTTTCCGAACGTTTTTTAATCTTCGCCGACAAAATTAACTTGTCACAAGGGGTGTCAATGCGCGCGTAAACAGGGTTAAGTGAGTTGTCATACGTTTATCTTCGCGTGTAATTATGACCCGCTAATTTTTAATTTTATGACTGATGCAATTCCGTCTATTGTTGTGCGTCTCGATGACACGTGCGTTTTTCTTTCGCTCTTGCTGATGAGAAATGTCAAAGCGTCGACGTTGCCGGACTCCCTCGGTTTGACAGTCTTCCCTTTTAATATAATACAAAACATTTCAGCAGAAGTTTGGTTAGAGAAGTGTACATGTGCGTATTGTAAAAATGAATAAAGCAAGTGGCACGCAACCGAACGTCGACCTGGACGATCCGAGGTATCGTATCAAACCGTATCAACAAATCATAGCTTCTTGCACCGGTGCGTTCATCACATCGGTGTTCGGTAAGTACAATCTAAAATTTCAAGAAACGATGTGTAAATTTAGTTTCTATGTAAATACTGATGCAAACGTTTGTTGTAATAAATTTTCTAGTTACTCCTCTCGATGTGGTAAAAATCCGCATTCAAACCCAGCAGAAGGCAATGCTCTCCAACAAGTGTTTTCTGTACTGCAACGGTCTGATGGATCACTTGTGTCCTTGTAACGGCAAAATGCCCGAGTGGATGAGAAGAAACGGAAAATTCAATGGCACAGTGGTATTTAATTAAGCACACAATTTCAGCGCCACTCAATTCGACATTGTTCTTCAGTTATTTGTATTTGCTGGTTTTGCTTCTAGGACGCTTTAATAAAAATCAGTAAAACAGAGGGTGTGACGTCGCTGTGGAGTGGTCTGAGTCCCACTCTTGTTCTTGCTATACCTGCTACTGTTGTATATTTTGTTTCTTACGAACAGTTGAGATTATACTTTAAGGTAAATATGAATGTTTTTTAGATGTTAAAAAACTCCACTTTTATATGTTTGTGCTATTATTGATTGTAACAGTTTTTTTCCACCTTTGCTTTGTTTAAAAGTAACTGAGCTTCATCTTCAATATTCTCTCTTATTAATATCTTTTTTCAAAGGACACATACAATAAAAGGTATAAGAAAAAAAGTACCAATATGGAACAACCATTTTGGATTCCCATATTGGCTGGTGGTATAGCACGGGTCTGGGCTGCTACACTGGTCAGCCCTGTAGAGTTGATAAGAACGAAAATGCAATCGCAGAAGTTAAATTACGCAGGTGAACATTTTAATATTGCGCACAAATAACAAACTTGTGAAATAACGAGACAGATATCAAATTGAAAAGTTAAGCACAGGTTTTAGTATTTTAAATTGTTTTCATTCCAGAAATCACACAGGCGCTAAAAACGGTTATAAAATACAACGGTATTCCTGGATTGTGGATGGGATTGAGCTCAACGCTTCTTCGCGATGTTCCTTTCAGCGCCATATATTGGCTGAATTACGAAACTATAAAGAGTTTCACCTCGCAGCATACTTTCGCTTTTAATTTGGCGGCAGGAGCTACAGCCGGATCTGTATGTTCAAATATTTATTGTTACATATTGTTCCGTATGTTATCTGAGATCACGACACAATGAGAACATTAATCGTTACAGATAGCAGCGTTTGTTACTATACCATTTGACGTAGTGAAAACGCATCGGCAAATCGAGATGGGAGAAAAGGAAATTTATTCAGGTGCACATTAATGTTAAATATATTAGCAATTTATAAACAATTGTGAATACTAAATCTGCATTTTGTGAATTTGTTTCAGAAAAACCTATTCGCAGCAGCAGCACGTGGAGAACGTTACAGAGAATCTATTACCAGAACGGGGTGAAGGGTTTGTTCTCGGGATTGATACCGCGTTTGATAAAAGTGGCACCGGCCTGCGCGATAATGATTTCGACCTTCGAACACGGCAAGCGATTTTTCTACTCGTACAACGCCAAAAGAGCAGTCGACTTCGAGGTCGACAGGGACGTACATTTGCTGCAGCACAAATCCAAGAGTACAAAATGACACAACTGCAAATTATCGCAAATTGTACAGACCTGCAATAAAGTTACGTTTGATCCTTGATTCTTCACAGCGTGTTTATTAGCGTTAATTAAGGTTTGTACAAATTTTATACGCGCGTAAGAAAAATTTACAGATTTGCGCGCTGTGTAAACTTTATATTCATTTTAATTTATGAAAAACTTTGTAAAATCGCAACGTTGTTTTTTTTTTATTATAGTTTATTTATCGCGCACTGCGTGCTAACGCAGACACGTGAAAAAGTAAATCCCAACACGCATGAGTAAATCTAATAAGCGCCTTTTATCGCTTCGCAACATACGCTCCTGAGAGTCAGAATTCAAATACAATATCGCTGACTCTGGTGCGCACGCGGCATGAAGTAACCCGCAATCTCCAGAAGTCAACGGAGAGACTGAAGACACCCCGGCGGAGTCGTTCGTGTTTCCGCGCGTTTGTTCGACGAGATGTGAGTAAAAACTTAATACACGAGTGGCGATTTTACAGTAGGAAATAACGCGACTTCGTCCACCTCGGAGGGTGCTTGAGTGCGTGCACTGACCAGCGGCTTCCGAGCGCGAGGACCGTTCGGCTAAATTCGGTTGGTCGATAAACCGAAGTCTCGCGGTTCGTTCTCAGAGGGCAGCGAATAGGTCGTCGCACGGAAGTCGGCTCGTTTCGTTGGTCGGAGATAGGTCGGTTCTCTTGCTAGGCGTTCGCGTACGCTCATACTCAATTCAACATTCCAAGGACCGGGGTCCTACTATTCCTATCGCACACACTGACTCTTTGCCAGTAGTCCTGGTGAGCGTGTGACCGCCTTCCGTTCTATCAAGTGAGTAAAAATTTCGATCGCGCTCAGCGAGAACCCTGAGAGAGAAAACGCTCCCCGGGCTGGCGACGTCGTCGGGGATCCGGAGTTAATTCGATACGTGTCGTAAAAGTCGCGTTTCGTTCGTTCGATCGTTCGGGCGAACGAAAAAAAAGGGTGAGGGCGAAAGAGAGAGGGGGAGGATGCGCGGCCATTTTCTACTGTAACGTTACGTGTCGCGCGAGTTTGCCGTCCGGCATTTGACCGTCATCGGGGGATTTATCGACGTGTACGGCATTCGCGAAACCGCGTGAAGTTGGCCGCGGACGATTGTCTCTCGTTAACGATTGTCGCGAAAACCCGCGTTTGTTACGGATCGCCCACTGCGGTCAAGGCGAGTTACGTAACAATCGACGCTCGAACGGGACGAGAACGATTCAATCGCTCGCGCACGCGGCCAACTTCACGTACAGCGCTCTCGTGGCCAACGTCTCGCGGCACATCTTTCTCCGAGTCCTGTGATCGTGCATATTCCCATTCTCTCTTTTCAGATCACTTTGTGCGCAGACAACCCACCAAGTTAACAGAACCGTCATCATGTACGCCTGCAGCAGATTCATCGCACCCATCGCCAGATCCGCCGTGAGTAAAAAATATTAAGAAAGATCGCGGGACTGTGAGAGACTTTGCGTCAAGTCTCCGCGTGTGCGAAAACACATTATATAACAACCTTCCCGTGTACGCGCACACTTTTCGCTCACGGTTTTCTTTATTTCCAACTCGACACACAGCTGGTTCCCGCTACGAAGACGTATCTGCGGCCACTGAGCAGCGCGGTGCTCAGCAATAGCCAGTCCATACAGCAACAGAAACAGATTCAAACACCCATCACTTTGGTGAGTAGGTTATCGTCTTTCTTTTTCCTGTACATTGCATAACTTTTTGAGATCAAGGTTACATAAGCAACTTGTAAAAGAACCTGAGTTTCGCAGACACAAGTGGCATTTCTCTCAAATTTTGTATTTTACACTTGTCAGCACATATGTGTGTATATATGTACATGAATATATATATATATATAGAGGTTGCTACTAATAAAGCCTTTTGAGGTCAAAGGTCAATATTTTAAAACAAATTGAAACAGATACTTCAGGACCAATTTGTGACATTAGGTTGTCAATCTAGCTTTCAAAAAGTGACATCTTTTGATTTTTGTCAGTCTTTGACAGTTTTTATCTTTTTAAATTGATATATGTGACAAAAAAATTGATGGTTGTGTGCATGCAAATAAAAAATAAAGTAATGTAGAATATTGTGAAAAAAGAACATACATTTTGTTCTTTAAATATATTTTAGAGGACATAATACTGTAAATATTTGTGAATCTTTATCAGATATTTTATATCAAGGTATTATATAATATATAAAATTTGTTTTGTAATACTTGATGCATTTATTCTAAAACCAAGTTTTAATGAAGGAAAGAGATATGCAGTCATGAAAAAGAAAACAGGTCTAATTGTTTTACAAAACAAATTGACTTGGAAAATACAACTTTTTGTGTTGTAAATTTGTAATATTTGTGTTTTGCAGTCTCCTATGATACGATCTTTTCAAACATCAGCAGTCAGTAGGGACATTGATTCGGCTGCGAAATTTATTGGTGCTGGTGCTGCCACGGTAGGAGTAGCAGGATCTGGTATGTATTTATGAAAATATATAGATATATACATATATCACAGAGAAT